ATCAAGCTAGGTCTCATATTGGAAATATTTTTTAAGCCGGATGGGACAAGTAATATTGGGTAAAAATAAAATTCATTTAATTAGACATATTTTTCAGAATTTATAGCATACTTCACTTTTTATTATCATCAAAAAATACGAGAATTCTCCAAATAAAAGAATATAACAGTAAAACCCCGATATAACTTTCCTGTATTTATAGTTCACCCGTTTTAACCTTTTAAAATTCCTATCTCTAGAAATCTTATTAAATAAAAATATTCCGGGGTTTTACATATCCCCCTCTCTCCATTTTTTTTGAGAGACAAAACTGTGTTTTACTCATAGATATGAACCTAGACCAAACAAAGAGAGTTTTGATTTCAATTCTAAATATTTGTGTAAAAATATAGTTTGAAAAAAAATTTAAAAAGGAGCTTTGATGCTGTTTTTTAGATTTAATGTGCTTCCGAGGGTTCCAGATTGTTAGAAGGTTTCAAAATCGGTTTTCCAGAAAATTTTAAATCTGTTGGTTCGGATTTTGGTTCCCAGATTTACCAGCTTTCGAGGATTTCAAGAATCTGGTTCCTAACTCTGGTTTGCTGTATACTAAATATCCTAATAAATATTTAAATCTTGGATATATTATTTAACACTTTGAACTCTTGAATAAATTTTTTTTGATATCCAATTTATTATTATTTATATATAATTTCATTTTGTTCATTCGAATATTATTCGTTTAAAATAAACATTCGTATGAATGATTAATTATTTTAATAATCATTGATAAATTAATTGAATATGAGATATTTCATACTGTAAACGTTAAAAACGATTCATTACGTTTGAAAAAAAAGGATAGAGTTACTGCTACTCGTTACCTTGTAAAAAAGGAACGCTCTACTCGCTATTCAAAAAAGTAATACGTTTCTTAAAAAATATGAAATATTATATATAAATTTTCTTTCTATTCATTTTTTTTCAAATTTTTAATATTATTTTTTTTTAATATTATTTTATTTAAAAATAATAAATATGCCATGGTGTGGATATGGGTGGAAATTTTTTGATGTAAATTATAATTCAAAGTTTCTTTACTCAAATTCCTGTGAAAATTTTCACAGTTCTTTAATTTTACATTTAAAATGGGAAAGGTGTGTATATTAAGTTCTATTAATTAGGACAATAATTTTTTTCTTGAGAAAATTTTCACAATTCTTTCATTTTAATGAATATTTGTGCATTATATTATCTTCCTGATGATCAATTTCATGGAAAGCTATTTTTGCATCAGGAATTTGTTTTCTTAATTAATTTAATTAAATTGTATTTTTGTTCCATATTTTGTGCATTTTTTTATCCAAATTAATTTGATGGATGATAGCCGCAATGATATTTTCATCATTATAAACATTTGAAAATCTGCAATAAAGTTATTTAAATTGATAATTTATTTTTTATTTCGATTTCTTCTTCTATGATGGCTGGATCCATACAAAAGCTATTTTTTATCATATATCTATTAAATGAATATTCATATGGCTTAGAAAGATTTTTCAATAAGTTTTCAATATAAAAAGAAAGAAAAACTTGATGTTACTGATTAGATGAAAAACCAATATAAAACTTGACTCAGCATTTAATATTGTATAAATTTAAATTGAATAATATTTCATTTTATTCAATTTTATAGATTTATTAATATTTAAAAGAGCTGTGGAGAGGCGCTCCTCCACTCCAGCCCTAAGAGGAGCTAACTCCCGCTCCTAATTTGCTCCAGGTGTTTTTAAAAATGTGTAGCGGCTCTCTAGAAGCGCCGCTCTTTAACAAATCTGTTTTTTTAAGAAAAAAATTAAAAGTAACGAGTAACGTTTTGCATTGCCTTTACTAAAAAAGCTCGCTACTCGTTGCCTTTTGAAATTGCTTTAAAAAGTAACGCCGCTAGTATCTATGATACTTTTATCGACTTTACTTTACAGAATTAGACATTTCATATAATTGGAGGGCTAATATTGAATTAAAAACAAGAAAAAATTAATATTAGATAGCAATGATCTAATGAGGATATTGAAGAATTTGCAAAGACGCATAATTGAAAAGTCTGATAGATTGATGAAATGTCTTAAAAGAAGGGAGCGCCTACGCTTAATAATTGATAAAAATTATGATATCATCACCGCTATTCTTCAGGCTCATTCACCTAAGAGAAGTAATATATAGTAATTAATAAATAATAGTGTTGTTATAAGTTACTTTTGCAAAGTAAGTACTTTTTAAAAATAATTCCGAATACAAATATTAAATTCAAAACTGTGTAATAAATTAAAATAAAACTTTCATCTTATTTTCATAATTTTCCTGGACTGTTCAGAGAAATTTCTGAAAACTGTTTAACTCATGTTCTCGTTCCATAATTTTCCCCAAGTTCTATTCCCAAAAAGTGATGGGAATAGTATGTTCCATAGTTTATAAATCAAATGTAAATAGGTATTTAAACATTTTTAGTGTTTAAATAAATATCTATGCAGTATTTTGTTATTATTATCTAAGTTGAATATTCTGGTGTAATATGATATTATTTTGTTGTTTAGCTCTTAAATATGTTTTAAATATGACTTTTAAGATAATTTTTAGATCCTGTTTTATTTAATAAAGTAAACCTACGGTAATGTTGTATGTAAAATATTTTACTATTTACCCATAAGAAGTAATTCAAATGCCTGATGCATAGCACATAATATGGACGGAAAAATATTTTTAGATAATAAAAATTTTTACATTTTTAATATTATAAAAAATTTTACATTTTTAAATAGAGAACACTCAACTGATTATAAAATACAGAGATGATTGGTTGGATATTTATTTATTACTTATATCTCACCCCTTTCAAATATAATACAAAGCAAATGTTCTTTTAATTAAAATGAATGCCTAGGCTATGCATATATAATTAGGGCTGGGAAGTAACCCGGATACTTCTATTTAAAATACTAAATATATTTTTTTTATTGATTTGAATATTTTAGGAAGTATTTAGAATTTGTATTTTAAATATTAAAAAACGAAAAGTATTTAGTATGTATTACGATTTCACGATTTTCAGGCGAATGCAAATTCAAATACATTTTTTATTTTAAATTAATTATAAAATATAAATCCATCACATTCATATTTAAATATAAATTCCCCAGTTGGTGAAATAAGTTATCTAATAAATAAATGAAGGTGTGACTATGAAATATCTTAATCTTTTGAATCGTATTCCTTTTCATATTATGTATCGAATACTTCTCCTCATTCACTAAAAATAACCACCATACACCTTAGATAGTTAAGACATCAGCAACATTTTATATTTTTCTTATATGCAGTAACTCCTTTACCCAATCTCCATAATATTTTTTTATATTAATATCAAACCTATACCTACGTTTTTCGTTTATTACAAATTTATGATTGACTAATTAATAGGTAATATTGTATACTGTATATTAAAAATAAAATTTGAGAACACATTTATAGTGTATTCATTTTAAAAAACTGCATAGTAGCGCTTCTATATAGGTTAAAATAATGGATATTTTTTTCAATTTATTTTTAAAATTCATCCATTTCCTGGAAGAATTGTATCCTGCTGGCGTTGTTGTAATCTGTTTCCATGTAAACAACAAACCTTATTTGAAATTAATTATTTCCGCTTCGACGTTATTGTCTTGGTAAAGAAAATGAAATATGAATAAAATGAGCACAAATGTTTAAAATCAATAAAGTGAAAATTTTATTAAAGTATAGGCTTATGAAGTAAAATAGTAATCACTTTCCAACTTATTTTAATTAATTTAATTACCATTTATAATGAAAAACAATTTATTTGTATTCAGGCGCGTCTGTAATATATTTTTGGCTCTTAGAAACTTCATAAAATATGTAACATCTTTACTAACATTTAATATTAACCACTAAATTTGTTTAAAATTTTTTTTACTTTTATTGCTATAAAATCATAACAATTACTCTAAATTTAATGAGATAACACCGCAAACATAGTTATTCTATCATAGATCAGTTGATCTAAAATGTCTATTAATAGTTAAATCTCTTCTGCGCTTCCCACGGTTATTGGTATTGTAAAACTATTATCATGTTTAGGAATTATTATCAATTTTTCGATCATAAATACACAAAAATGTTCTCTCTTTCAATTGCACCTTTTCGAGTAATGATGCATAGCGTTGGGCGTTATTGGTATAAATATAATTAAATATAATTTATTCCTAAAATAATTAATACATTTGAATTTTTTTTATCATTACTTCCCTTGATGAACTCTTTCGGCTATTGTGAAGCCTGCTGAAGTACCAGTTGTGCTACGGACCATTGTTATATGACCCATATACATATCCTCTATTATTCTTTTATATTTTTCGGGAACCTTTTTGTGGTGTAGCGCCCACCATATATGGGCCTTTTCTAGATCGAGAAAGACCATGTGTAGATTTTTGTCCTTTTATTTATTTTTCACTCATTTGCCTAATTGATTGGATTGCATCAGTCGTTAATCTTTCAGGCATAATGCCAAACTGAGTCTCTCCTATTTCGACTGTCTCTTAACCCTTTTTCTATTATTTTTTCGTAAAATTTAAGACAATGTGATATTAATTTTATGCCCCTGTAATTTTGACAATTGTGTGGATCCCCTTTATTTTTGAAGATAGGAACTAGATAGCTCTGCCTCATTTTTGAGGTGTTTATCAGTATTTTATTGTACAAATGTGTGAGGGAATGTATTCCTTCATCTCCTAGTGCCTTAAGGCTTTCTATTGGAATATCATCAGGACATCTAGCTTTGTTGTTTTTCATATGTTTGTGGCATGTGATTATTTCTTGTTCCGTTACTGGTTCTATAAGGTTTTGACATGGGGAGTGTTCATCTAGAAGTAGTATGTGGGAATTAAAGTTGAGAAGCTCCTGAAAATATTCTTTCCATCTATTAATTATTTCTTTTTCCTTTATTATCAATTTCCAATCTTTATTTTTGATTCTTTAGGAGCTCTGTTTATATCCCTAGAATTCTTTTCTCGCTGTATGGCTAATCTGTATATTTTATACCCCTCCTTAGTATGTAGTTCTTCGTACATGTCATCGTATGCCATTGCTTTGGCCCTAGCCACCACTTTTGTAGCTATTCTCTTGGACTTTTTGTATTTAGTCTTGTCATCTGGGTTTTTGGATTTGTACCATATTTTATATAGGACTTTTTTTTTCCTGTATAGTGGTTTTTGCCGCTTCATTCCACCAACATAACATAGTTCTTTGAATGATTTGTTGCCTCCCCTTGTCAAGCCTAATGTCGATTTGACAGTGTGAAAGGTCTGTCCAGATTTTTTCACTGACGTGTGAGGAATCTATTGTTTCTATGTTTGCATTGATTGAAAAGGCATCTGTCATTGATTTGAATCTACCCCATTTGATGCATGGTTCAAGTTTTATATTGTTTTGAGTGGATTTATTTATGATGTGTAAATCCATGACCAGTAGCTTGTGTTGCGCCGCAATATCTTCTCTTGGGATGACTTTGCAGTCTATTACATCATTTAATCTTCTGCGAGAGATAAGCATGTAATCTATCTGGGTTTTCCTTGTACCACTTTCATATGTTATTAAATGACTGTCATTTTTATTATAGTAGGTGTTGATTAAGGTAAGGTCGAAGGCTTGCGCAAATTTCAGTAATGCTCTCCTTCATCATTTCTTTTCCATATCCAAATCCACTATAATGCTGTCTCTTGCTTTTCCCACATGCGCATTTAAGTCTCCACCTATTATGACTGGGTCATCCTTAGGGATTTCCATTACACCTTCATCAAGGATAGCTCTAAAGTCATCTTTCTCTTCTTCTTTGCAACCCATTTGAGGAGCATTTACTAAAAGGATGTGTAGTGTTGATTGACTAATGCAGAGTTTTATTTTCATTAATCAGAGATCCTGTTAACTTCTACCATTGAGGAGGTTAAATCTTGACTAAGGATGATGCCGACACCGTTCCTATTACTAACAATTCCATTTAGTACAATTTATACCCATCTCCAAATTAGAGTGTTCTGACCTTTCCATTTAGTCTCTTGTATGCATGCTATATCAACATTTTTCTTGTTTAACATAGATGCCAATTCTCTCGTCTTATTTTTAAGTGTACCAATATTCAAGAAGCTTGCTAACCTTGTTTTCTTTGTTTTGACCTTTATTTTACTTTTCACAGGATGGAGTTCTACACCTTGCGCGTCGCTTATAGGGAACGTCCTAGCTTTTATATTTATATATTTGTTTGTATCTTTCATTTAGTTTATTGGACAAGTATCCTAGCACCCGGATGTCCAAGCCTGTCGATGACCGGGGTGGCATTTCTAAGCTCAGAAAATCATCTTATCATATGTCTTTACACATCAATCATCGAAGAAAAACCTGAAAATTTTTACAGTTCCTTATCAGGATTGAACCTGGTACCTTCGGCTTCCAAGCATACATCATAAACTCACTAGGCCACCCCGGTGACATATGATTGACATATATAAAAAATATATATAATTATTTTTAAATAATTACAACAGCCATGATCTGTCTCTTTTGTTTTTATTTTTGGCCTTTTTTTGGAATAATTTTTTATAATTTTTATTTTATATATCATTAATATATGCATGCTATTAATATTAAAAAAAATTTTTTTAATAATAAAAATATTTTAGGAAAAATACGGGTGAAGTAGTTATTTCTACTTCGTTTGATGTTGGAATAATTTGGTTAATTGTAAAATACCATTTTTATTTGTATATAAGCACAAATCATAGTAGATTTGACCTGTATTAATAAGGAAATAAAGAATTTCATATAGGGTATCTATTATAAAACTATAATCTAGAATAAAGATGTGGGGTATGTACTTGGAAACCCTAAGGATTTATACCTAATTTCATAATGCAATAATAAATTGAGCAGAAAATACCACTCACCGAAAATTATTATCCAAAATATAAAACATTACACTAAGGTCAAAAGATAAAAAGATAGGAGGCGTAGAATAATTGTCAAACTATTTTTTTTTAAAGGAATGGAATATTTTGATGCAATATTTCTTATTAGATTACCAAAATATAACACAGAGTTTGGTTTATATAACTTCTACAATATAAGTTTTAAAAAAACATACAATATGAGGGTAAAAAAAGAAATAAATCATGTGTGAAGTAAATTAGATTGTTTAATACAATTGTAAGAAAGGCTGAAAAAATTAAAACCAAACGGGACTGGTAATTTCTATCAAAAATTATTCAAATCGGGGACAAATTTTGAAATATTTACATTATCTTGAAAAAGAAATATCTAAGAAACCTAGACTTAGTTTAATAAGAACTAAAAATGACATGGGGTAAGATTGAAAAAGGAATTTTATTGAGGAGCTATATAAATGAAAAAGAAATATTCAATTTTTTTAATCTAACCCCGAATCCTATATAATTGAGAGAAATTAAAGATAAATAAAATAAAAGAACAAATTTTATTTCATTAGGATTGTCAAACGCCTCCTTGTTCTCCCCTTAAATATGCCAATGATGATGGTAAAATATCGATTTAAAACGCAAATTTAACGGAATTATACATTCATATAAAAGTTTTAAGTATTATTTTACATTACATTTATCTATGAATGAAAACAATATATCTCTATACAATTATAAACTCTAATGTCTCAATTTAAGTGAGTATAATGTTATTGATAAATTATCAGATTTCTGTATTTTAACATTATATTAGAAAATATATGACTATAAATGCATCCATAACAACCAGGAACTCGGCCCTTAGTGGGCCCTATATAACTTTATAAATCCTGGGCCCGTTTATAAGAGAAATACACTTGGCATAATAGTTTACGTCGAGCCGATTTTAAAATAAAATTTTATCAAAAATTTCAGAAAAAATTATTTAAAATATCGAAATTTTAAAATCCGCGCCGGACTAAGCTTAAGAATTTAAAAACCCGGGCCAAGCCAAATTTTTTCTAAAATTTTGGGTCAGGTTTAAATGGAAATTATTTTCAAATGGCCAGGACTGAAAATTCGAGCTCTGCTTGTCTCTGAATGACATAAAATCATGGTTAAATTTGTAGTTTTGCTCTTCTAATGTCTAATGTATAATATTTATATATTTGAGATTCTTATTTTAAATGTATTTTTTTAATATAGAAAAGTTCCAAACTACGTCATTCATTCATTCATTTATTTCTCTTTTGTAATCACTCCATTCATATCTATCGATTTTTTTTTGGAAATACATACATTATCGAATACAAATTGAAAAAAAAATTATATAAAAAATTAATCTTTATTTTTATTTTGTAAAAAATTAAACGTTTTTTTGGAAACTCTATTACGTCATTCACGTGTAAATAATAATTTTTAGGTAAGATGGTGCATTTTCTATAATTGTTACATTTATTTAAATTTTATGTATAAATGGCATCTGTAAGAGAAGGACATAAGCGGGCTTAGCACGTGTAAATTTTTGAGTGGACTTGTTAATAATTTGATAGTTTGAGTCGTTGTTTAGAAAATTACTTGCCAATGATCAAATTATATTAAACCCTATATTATATTAACTTTCCCATATTTGACGACACTTTTAACCTAAATCCTAACATCATTCAATAGGTTGGTTTTAGAAAAGGGTTTCATGGCGAATCAACACTTATCTGCTGCACCTCATTCAATGTCGTCCATATTAGACCTATGAGCCGCATTAAAAAATTTTTTGGTGTTATGTATTGTGTAATAAATAAAACGATAAGAAAAAAAATTGTCCTGGTTATAGTACAAGGGCCTTATAGACTGAATATTTTTCAAAATCATCAACATTTCTCTAATTCTATGGCGTGACCTAGCCACTTCTAATCGATTACACCTAACTTTGTAAGAACAATTTAGCCGCCTATGTCAGGTATCTGTGCTATAGGTCTGATACCCGGAAGTAACGGTAAAAAGTGGTATCAGAGAATCTATAAATATAGTATAAAAGGTTTTATCAATTTTTTTATATTAAAATTGTTAATAATTAATATATTTTCAAAATTAATATATCGAATAAGCAATTTTTTATTCAAATAAATGCATCCGAAGACATTTATATGTAAGTAATTTTTTCTTCGTAATAAATTGTCCTTCTTCAGGACATTTCCTCCGTGCAATTTTATCCTGTCGCGAATTTAAACATGAACTGGCCTGGCAGAACGATTAAATAACATCATAATTTTATACACTAGATGATATAATTATAGATTATCCAATTCTATAAGTTTAGGTAGAAATATTTTTTAAAAAATTAGGATAATTAATCGGAATTGCACTTGTATTTTTCAGAAACTTGCAGACTTGGATCGGGCCATAAAATTTTTAAATAGCGGGGCGGGGCTAAAAAAATTTATATTATATAAAATAACAAAATTAAAAAAGGGCTGGACCCGACCAATATAAAGAAATCTTTGTTAGGCTGATTCCGTGAGGAGGGAGGGGTGGAGGACTTAAAATTTAGACTCCATTTCCAAAAATTAAATAAGTAGTAGAAAATCTCTTGAAACTTAAAATGTTGTTCAAATTACTACGGCTTTCTGATAATCCGCCATAAGTTGGAAAAATGGATCAAGGAAATTATTATAATACAAAAAGACTTATTTATGCCTAATATGGTATATTTGTAAGATTTACATGAATTTCCTTATTATATTCACAATATCAAGATATTGTAATAAAAACTATAAAAATGTTCCCCTCTACGTTTTCACATCCGTTTCCGTCAAGTCCTCAATTTTCAATTGTTTAAAAAAAACAATTTTGATTTCTTTGAAGGAAGAAAAAAAATCGATAGAAATTATAAGTAAATATTCTTATTTATTATTATTACTATTATTCAAATTTTATGATTTTTTAAAAAAATGCTAAAAATGATGATTAGATTTTTCATTGATCATCATCTCAGATTTTTTTAAATTTACCTTTAAAAAATAATTTTTTTACTCCTTTTTTAATAACTATTACTTTTGAAATCATATCAGATAATTTTTTTCCCTTTTATAACTATAAACAAGGTTATTTCGAAACGTTGGAAAAAATAATATTTGATATTTTATTTTACAATAAATTCATTAAAATAGTGATCGCGACTATTCTTTATGGATTCAGGTAAAAAATAAAGGAAAATAAATTATGATAACATTTTATATTTTTTATGTTTATAAGCTTAACTTTTCCTTATTTTTGGGAACCCTTCAGGATAACCTAAACACTCCAAGAGTAAGGCCTGGGAGGACGGATGGGGAAGCGGTTCCAAGTAGTCAAATGATACTATTTTAGGGGCCGCCATATTTTGCTTATTGTGCATTTAAATGTAAATTGTATTTTAAAAGTGGTGTTATTAAACGCAGCCTGATTTGAGTCGATTTTTAAAAACAGTCCGATAAAATTTTAGCTAAAATAATATTATGTAAACTTAGATATTTAGCTAATGGAGTACGAACCTTTCTGACATCTATGAGAAAAATCGCCAGGGTTACATAATATAATTTTGGCTAAAATCTTCGGACCATTTTTAAAAATTTGCCTAACAACACTATTAAAAAGGAATAAATATTACACCCAATTCTGTAATTTATTAGAAATTATCTATATTTTATTATAATTTAATATATTGTATAAATATTACCTAATTCATATTCTCGGCTACTTATTTTCAATCCCCTAAAAATGACAAAGCCTAGTTTGTTATTTTATAAAAAGAAATTATACTTACGTAAATTAGATTTTTTACAAAGCCCGCAGATTTCATTTACACTTTAGACCACCCAAAATTATACGTGCCGCTCTCTTAGTTACAATACATATCCAACCGTTCATTCCCAATTAGAAAAATGTAGCACGGCATTATAATTTTTTACGATGTTATAAATATAAACACAAAATCAATTAACTTTGTGTTCATCGTGTGGTAACATATCCACGTTGCATTAATTTTGTTAACTGTATAGATCAAATAGTAGTAATTAAAAAAATTTAATTTTTTGAACTGAATTTCTATATATTATATAATGAATAACAAGCGGATTTATTACCAAGCTTAAACTAGATTTTCCTCCATTATTAAATTTTATTAAATGGAAATATTATGAGTTTTTCCGAAATATATATGTATGAAGTTTTTTTTCATCGGCCCTAAATACTAAATTATTTTAGCCAATTTGAGTTTTCAAAATATAATCCATTTTACTCCACCTTGTAAACGTGACTCTTAATTTCTTCAATTTAACCAAAGCCCATTTGTTAGATGTTAATAATAACTCCATTCTTTTATATCATCCCCCTAATTATTTATTTAGGGAGATTAAATGGGATTACAGTGTTGACCAAATTTGATGGAAAACATTTCCATATATTTTAATTTATTTGTAAATAAAATCATCTGACTTGCAAAAAATCGTTAATTTTTACAAGTTAAATAATTTTATTTATAAACTAATTAAAAAATATGGAAATATTTGGAATTATTTGCACAACACTGTATTTCTTACTTTTATTTGGAGAGCAGTTTCATTTCAAATAAATTTTTTAATCCATCATTATCAAACTGCAAATACGAAAAAAAAAATATAAGCTATCCTACAGTAAGTTTTATTATATAAAGATTAAAAAAATAATAAAAATTTGTATCAATAATCTTTCGATTGATGAGATATATTATATTAGTTATAATGTCTTGAAATATATTTATTTAATATTGCGTGCTCGTGTTACCAGACAATTTACTATACATATCACGAATTTTGAAAAGATTAACATCTAAAAATATTTCTCGCAATTATTTTTGCAAATTATAGACAATTTTTTCAGTGGCTTTGTTAATGAAAGCAAAAGTTTCTCAAGTAGCCTAAAACAATTGGCCTAATAGCAGGCAGGAATGATGAAAACTATCTATGCCACTAATTTTTAAAACTCTTAATATCATTTTTTATCTAATTAAATTTAGAATTAGTCATTTTGATAAAAAAATAATAATTATAAAATCTTGAGTTTTTTTATTTCTATATATTCTTATTATTTTTCTTCTCTGGATCAATTTCTTAGTATGTGACATTAAATTATTATATCTAATAATGAATCGAAGAAAAATTATTATAATAAAATGAAATAATATTCCCACAACCAAGCAGCAAATGTCATTATTGTTAGAGCTCTCCGCTCAGCCAATATACCTGATCTTAAAACCCTAGGATTTAATTTCAATATCAATATTAAACCAGATGGAATAAACTCATTCCATGAACTACCAGAATCCCACTATCCTGAGTTTACACCAGCATTGATTGGTTCGCGCTTTCCTTTAACTCCAATTTTATAGTTGGAGTTAAAAAAAATATATAGTAGTATCCGACATAATCGGTAAATTTAGTTCTAGAGCCCGGGATTTTTTTACACTCGGCCAAAAATACGAATTAGGGGACCATCGAGAAGTTTTTACCTTTTTCAACTGATCATGCTGAATATCAATCCACAATGCCATCAGTCTTAAAAAATTTTTAATATTTTGGGAGCCTCATTTTAATATTAAAAATTTGTAAACCATATTTCATCGAAAGAACTCAAGGCCAAATTTTTGGCAAAATAATTCCATTAATTATTAATTAGAGCCATATTTTTTTTATATATGAAAATGGTTAGGAAAAATATTCTTAAAAGTAAGTAATTGTGATTTAAATCAATAATATCTCAAAAATATTTTTAAAAAGAATATAAATTAAGACATGAATTGAGTAAAATTTAAATTATATTTTTTTATAATGTAAAATGTATAGCTTGGGATGTAAAAGTTCTGAAACACTACTTAATAACAAATGGGATTTAAGTAAATCGGTAAAATAAAGGAAAGGACATAATATTATTAAATTAGTAATATTTTTGGGCTTCTTTGTTCTCTCCCATCAAAGATTTCAGCCACCATGAAGCTATTAACTATATTATTTTAATATATATTTTTGTAATAATATAAAAAAAATAAATTAGATAGATAACTCCCTTTGCATTTAAATTCACCCATGCATGTACGCAGTTGTTGTTGGGAAGTGGGGGAGGGGCTGTTTGATAATTATTTTTTTATAAAAATTATTCTTATTTATGAATATCTTAAATTTTATAAATTTATCAAGAGGCTACTATAAAATATTGACAATTTCTAATACACAAATTCAAATATAAATTTATTATAAAAGTTGCCCCCCCCCCCCACTGCGTGAATACTTCGATTTACCTGAGGTTATACTATTAAATAAAAAAGATTATTCTTACGATTATAATGCCATTGCATCATACCTCCCTTCCCTCCCTACTAAAAGGTATAGACACGAAAATGCGGTTTTCGCTTTCTCCAGTTCAAAATAACGACTTAGCTTACCGTCAATGGATACGGGCCTTAAAATCTTTGGTTCTTTTTCCGGATGGAATTCCTTCCGACTTTCGTAAACAGGTTGTTTACATATCAATTATAATTGGGATAATATTTACTTTTTTTGATGGCTCAACATGTGCAAGAATAAGGCTTGGAATATATATACTGTTTATAATTTTCTTCAATTTACATAATTGATGTCAGATTCAGATTAATTTGAAAACTAGGCTTAATTCGTCTATTATAAAATAATCGCTCTAAGTTTCTACTTATTTATTTCAATGAAATTAATTTTAAAATGACTTAACTCTTTTTTAAAAAATCAGTATATATATGTTATTTGCAATTAGTTTTTCCGACAAGTGTCTGAGCGCTTATTTTTTAATTTAAAATCTGATTTTACTAAAAATGTATTCCATTCCAACATGCTTGGAATCAGGCGCGTACGCAGGAATTTGGCCTGGGGAAGATAATAAAATTTTTTAAGAAATATTATTGTTTTTAAAAATATCAAGCATAAATTTATTAGGACTAATAAATTTCTAATACACAATTTAAATTAATGTTAATTATCAAAAAATTATATGTATAAACCGGCATATAAAAAACTATAAAATAAATGTGACTTAAAAAATATTAAACGGATATAACTGACGGTATATGAAAAACTATAAAATAAATGTGATTTATAAAATATAAAGTGAATATAACCACTATATAAATCACTTAAATGACCCAAAATAGAAATTTGAATTTTTTGAGCCTTTATTTATATATAAGTATAAAAAATTTAAATGTGGAAATATAAATTATCACACAAAAAGTTTCTTAGGAATAATTGTATTTTGTATGTTATATATTTACAATGTAAAATCCAATTTTCGTTGGGATTGAGCTATAGTTATTTAACTAATAAGTCATCATAAGATACCTTAACATCTTCATGATAAAAATCTAACAAATATATTTTTTTCTATCATCATCTGAAAAAGGTTGGGAAGGCTTTTGTGGAAGTAATATTTGCAGATTGGTAAGTGTTGCATGATGAATTAAAAACCATTTATTTATTTGGGTTATAAATGTATCTAAGAGAGGGGACTTTTGCTTTACTACCCATCTAATGATCCTATATTAATGTTTTGACGTTGAGCTTACCTTGCTGCAAGTCGAGGGAGAAAATATTAAACACGTATGGCTCTGCTTTAGACTCAATAATAACATATAAAATATGAAATTCACCTTCAACATTAGCCCTAATTTCCTTGAGTTCTAATAATATGCTCTCCGCTATTCTCATCTTCTTAATCAAGTCAATGTCATATTTTTGAAAATTATTACATAAAATAGTGCATAATTAAATAATACATTCTAATGAGAAAAAAATTTGGAATAAGCATTGAATCCAATAATTTTCTTGCTTCTGAGGAAATATTTCTTTCATGCCATTGTGATATTTCATTAATAGCAAGTAATCGGCTCTTCTAACTAGAGATCTGCAAATGTACGGGCTTAATTTTTTTAAAAAAAATCAGGTTCTGGTCGGGTCTTGGAAATTTTTAAAAATATATCTAAACTTATTAATTTTATATTGAATTTTTTATGTAAAATAAAAATATTTGATTTTATTTATAGAAACTAGATGCCATATAACAAATGTCTTTTATCTTGAGTAATTATAAAAATAAATTTTATTTAAATAAATTCGGGCCGGTAAATTTTTTTAAAAATATTTAGGGTTCTGGCCAGGCCAGCAAAACTTTTTAAAAAATATTTCGGAAGGGGCCGGGTTTGAAAATTAGGCCCGATGCAGATCACTACTTTTAACTCCATAAAAGCTGTAACAGCTTGATGGTGGTGATTCTATCTCTTTGAACATGCTTGCAATTTCTTTCTCCCTGTTGAACAAGGAGTTTCAGAAATAATTATTTGACTAGAAATTTGAAAATGGTAGGATAAATCCACTAAAAATTTGAATATAATAAATAAATATTACGCTGGAAAACTTGAAATCGAAATTAATTGATAAAATAACTTAGTAGATGAATGTGATATATAATTAAATATATATTTAATATGAGATAGGAATAAATATTAACAATTTTAAGCTTGGGGGGGGGGGAATTTGTTCCCCTGCCCCCCCTCCCCCGCTGCTTACGCGCCTGCTTATAACACCTACCCTATGAATTTTAGACAACTTTTCCATGAACTTTTGAACTTAAGATAATTTATATTAGTTTTTTTAATTGTCTACAGTTCATAAAATAGGTATTCTAAACATGCCGGAATACATTTCCAATAAAATCAGATTTTAAAATTTAAAAAAAAAACGCTCAAAAAATGATTTGAAATTGAAAAAATAACACATTGCCGATAACTTATATATAAATATTTTATTTTTTATTTACCTCATTTTAATTTGAATAAAGATTTGGTTAAATTTGGCTGACCACTACATTCATTCCAGAGACCTGAACTGGGAAAGTATTAAAGGGGTGTGCTTTAATGATAATACAAACCCAGATGATTATGATTTAGACGCTCAAATTATTAAAGTAATAAAAAAATTTGAATCATTCAAATAAAAAACATTTAGATGTTTTTAAAATATTATAATTACGATTGTACTAATTTATTTATTATCTTAAATTTTGAGTCGTTTTTACAAAATTTTAATAACAGTTATCACGAATTTATCAAAAATTAAATAATGAGAAATATAAAATAAATAGCCTATACCATGTTCTAGAAAAGGGCTAGCTATGATATAATATTAATTTACATATTAAAATACAATTGATGGATATAGGAAAAATCATATAATATTATATTAGCTAAAAAATTGTCAAAGAAATCGTAGCAATTTACCTGCTAAAATTTCAAACTTTTAAATAATCGCGAGGTAAATGCTACATAATTATTATTTTTATATTTTGAGATTTTTTTAAAAAATAAAATATTATTTCCGATAATTTTATTTGATATATAGGATTTACATCGGACAAATACTGCAGGTGTTTCAGGATCTTCGCTTTCCGAGGAAGATAGGGTTATTTTAAAGAGGGTTCTTTTAGCGTTTGCTAGATGGAACAAAAAGATCGGTTATTGTCAGGGTTTGAACGTAATAGCAGCTTTAATTATAGATGTTATGGAACATAATGCGGAAAATGCATTTAAAGTAAACAATATAGAATACAGGATCTTTTAAAGTCCACATCTCTTTTACCAGAAACCAATATTTAGTTTTTATTAAAATTTTCCTTGAATGGAATGATATAAAACATTGGATCATTTATTACTGTCAAATTAATTTGAATTAAAAAATTTAAGTTGTTGGTGGATTAGTTTAGAGGTCGGCAAATCACAGTTTAAACAGGCCTGTGGATATTTTTGAGAAGGTACTGCAGATATTTATGCCCAACAGATATTGTGTAATTTGTCCGGCTCGGACAGTAATAATTTTTTATGAAGGAAGAATACCTAAATTTTCATAATTTTAAGCTCTAAAGCTTTTGCAAACTTCCACTCTGTCCAGCCCCTAAACATATTCTAGCAAGTTGTCTAACCCGGCCTGGGGCTTCCACCTCTAATACTGATACCTCAAATGTAGGGATTCCTATTTAAAAAAATCGAGAACAATAATGTCATGAAATAGCTTAAAACTATTCCTAGTATATCTCTATTATTAGCGGGTGAGCAGTTGAGGGTGTCAATAGATTAAAGATTAAACTGAGATATGTTATTTGATAAATGTAAAGTTTGCGAGAAGGAATATAGTCTTAAAAGCAGATATGGCGTATAGTCTATATATTAAAGAGAGATTTATTCGTCACCGAGAAACTAATTCAATATTATCCAATTTCGCTCATCAATAGTCTTAAACCATTGTACTACACTATCGTTATCAGATGATTTTACCAATATCCCGCAGTTTAATAGAAAGCATCTTATTTGAAATTTAATCTGTTTCCCAGTTTACCTTCAATTAAAATTTAGATCCTTCTATATCAACTAAGAAGTACTATGGTCTTTAAATTTTTTTATTTCATCCCTTTAGATTTCAGCAAATGGATTTTTAGGTGGTCCTCACCCCAAAGCCATAAATATTTTTGGTACTTTATATATAGTTAACTCAAATCATTGGAGATCATTTACAATTTAAACTAATATAGCAATTTTTTTTATTTTATTTTCTTTTGTAATTACATTTTTATCGATTTATGAAGAATATTTATTTATAATAACTTTAAACATAAGGAGAAAATTATTTTTTAAAAATGAAAATGTTAATAAAAAATTTTATCAAAAAAAAGGTTATGATTTATCTGATCGAACATATATTGCCGCCTAGATATTATACCAATAATTTAACTGGATTGACAGTGGACATGTCCGTATTTAGAGACCTATTGAGCATTCGGTTTCCTTATCTTGCATCCCACTTAGAAAAACTCAGGCAAAATGTGGCCAGTTAGTTTATTTTTATAATATTAGTTTACCGAAACTACATATGAATTTGATAAAAATTACAATCTGTATGACAATGAAAAGGAAATTTAAAATTAAAGTTAAGTCGTTATTATAAACATAATTTTTTTTTCCAGGAAAATTTAATCATTCTTTTTTAAAATGGGCATAATATAAGAATACGACGTGTACGAGCCACCCCTCACCAATCTCTTCACAATGCAATGGTTTATTACGCTTTTCGCAACTTGCTTCCCTCGAGAAACTGTACTGAGAATATGGGACTGTTTACTCTTGAGAGGATCAGAAATATTATTGAGAACCGCATTGGTTTTCTGGAACAAAATATCCAGGCTTCTGGTTGTTGCTGAAAATCCAGATCAATTTTACGCTATCATGGAAGAGGTTGGTAAAAGATGTCTAGAAAATGGCGTTATAAGTGCTAGAGAATTGATCAAGGTAATTCGATAAATATTGTAATATATTTTTTTACATATATTTTTAATATAAAAATATACTTCATGGAATTTTCATAGTTAAAATTAAAACTTTTCCCATAAAATGACAAATTGACAAATAATTGAATGATTGCTTACAATATCTCTTTATTTAATTAGGGCATTCACGATATAAGCCCTTTTCCCTATAAAGAAATCCACGAGCTTAAAGATAAATATACGTATAACATATCTCCCTTTAACAATTCCGCCAGTCAGAGAATTGTCCTGCAAGATTCCAATTTTAGAGTGAGAAATATTATATTTTAAACAATTTTAAATTTAATACTTTGTTAGCTCTCTGATTTCAATCTCTTGACCCTGATTAAATTTATCAACAAGAAAAATACAAGTCACACACTACAGGATAATGGTAAGAAATTTAAAATTGTATATTCCAATCAAATAGTCGTTATTTTTAAAATATAGATAGCGATGAGCAATGCAGTTATACGCTACTATCAAAAGTAACGCACTACCACTGCTATTTTTTAAAAAGCAATGCGCTAATTATTATATTTAAAAATTAGCTTTCGCTACTTTAGAATGTGTAAAACGAAATTCAAACATACAAATTTATTATGAATTGTATAAAATAAGAATTAAGTTTTATTTATTATTGTTATATTTAATAACAAGATCATTTATATATTTTCATCCCCAAGTCTTGAGCGCGATCATCACTAAATATAAGTTTAGCTTTGAATTTCAGAATGTTTTCATAAAATAGGGAAATCAATAAATATGTTTTTGTATTATTTTTTAAATCTAAAAAGCATTTAATCGATTGTCCTTCATATTCATATCATTCTCTATCTGAAGAGCATCCATAGATATGGTTATATACAGCTGGCCTATAGTTCCTAGAAATCAGATTATATACTTTCTTTAATTACATCTATATCGTTGTTAGAAGCCAATTTAGCTTAAAATTTTGAGATATACTCATATTGTCTCAGCCATCTTTCTTGATTTAATCAGCGAATGGTCGTGAAGAATTCCTTATACTAAAAAATAATTCAAAATATATATTTAAATTTCAAAATTATAAATTAAATTTCATTATTAAAATTTAAAAGTAGGGTAAGACTATTTCCAGACAGAACGTTTTTCAAAGCGATTTTCAATGCATGTTTTTAGCTAATTTTTTATATATTTATTTCCATCCAAACAAAGAATGATAATTTGTCAAATAAATTTTTTAGCATAAAATATTTTAAAAACAAATTGATTATTTTTTTCTTCTTGATTCCAAAAAACCTTCATCTTTAAATCAAATTAACAAGTTTGTCAAAATCTTAATTTAATAATAAATAAAAAGAAAATAAGTAAAGTTATCCAGATAAGATCTTCATTATTTTCAAGTTAATAATTCGTGATTTATTAAAAATCTCAATATAAATATATATTTTTAGATCATCAAAACAGAAATGTCTGCGATATAAAAGCATTACGTGATCAATATAAAACCATCTGCCAAAGACATAAACAATCCCTCATTATGTCAAGTTTGACAAAAATAATTTTTCCGTTAAATATAAAATTTGCTTAATCACTATGACTCCTTCTGCCAAATCACGTGATATAAAATAGTGTTTTTTTAAGGCTTAAACAACTCGGTAATAATAATATTCCTGCAAATTTTGTAATCAAATTAACTCATTGAGTAATAATCAGTAGAATAATAAGGTTGTAACTCCAATTAGATCAATTTTACAGAACACCGATTTTTTTTAAAAACCATCAACAGGTCATGAGAAGGGTACGATTTTTATGCTAACTCAATTTCGACCAATAGTGGAGTTAGAACCTTATAATAACAATGTTATGAATTGAATCACGATGCTCAAATTGAACCATATTTTACAATACAATAATAACATTAAAAAAAATAAAACAAATTTAATTTAGATTTTCCCCATTGTTATCAACAAGACACTACTGCTCATATATATACCTCAATCAGTCACACAAAAAATAATCAACCGATAAAGGTTCAAGATCGAAAAATTAGAAATAAGATAAATTGCGGAGAAAGTATAATAACCTTCGATCCAACCGATTGTGAAATTGAACCAATCATAAACCATTTATATATCAAGCCAGGTCCCAAAGCCAAACACCGGAAAAATAGAAAAGCTATTTTATATTCTTCATAGTTTCTTGATAGATTTTGAAATTTTTGTAAACTAATGGCGTTGTTTGATAACATTTTTTTAGAAATACAGTTTACATACAGATAGATATTTCAGTTTAACATGATTTACTTACAAAGCATTTTAAAAATAATAATCTTTAGCAAAGCAATCTAATAGTATCGTATAGTATATTCGGATCGCCCAAAAAATTTTTTTGAAAAATTTAACAAATATTAAAAGTATAACAAAATGGTATGTTCAATTTTTGGAACTTTCAAAATTTTATAAAAAATGTTTTAAATGGCTTTTATTTTTAGATAAAAAGAATATATTATTTATTATCATTTAAGTTTTCTAAAATTATGGATTTTTTTCTTCAAGTTAAGGACATAGTCTTAATAATAATAACTATCGAAAGGTTTGCGTGCGAATAAAATTTGTCAAAATAGAGATTTTCATTATGTAAATGGCTGGACCGAACCGAGGTCAAAATTTAAGGGAGCGAGCATGGTTCAAATAAATACTGAACCGAAAACGTATCGCAAAACCGCAACACTAACTTTCATTAAATTTATTTATATTGTTCAACAAATTTTTATTTCACATATATTTTATTTCTTGTTTAAAAAAAACAATAACTTTTAATGAAAGATTCTAAAAATTAATCGCAAAAATATTGCATTAGTAATATATGACTTTTGTTACAAACAACGGGTATAAATTGAAATTGAGAGTATTATTCTTTATTTCTTTCCTGAAGTAGCCTTGATTTTCAAAAAATGCAGAGCTGTTTTAGCTGCAGTGCATTTGGCAATCTTACAGTTGCTTCCAACCCCACTCCAGCGTCCTTTGCCAAAAACTTCAACTGTCACTTTTACTTGTCCACTGACCAATTTCATAGGTTTCCTTTATAAATAATTTATGTTTTGAAAAAAATTTGTAATAAAAAAACAAACTACTAATTAGACATCTTAATCTTACGATGAAGGGAATGACGAAAAGTATTACAAATGAGGATTTGAAATAGTGTGGTTAGAGGATGGAAAGATGCTCCTTTTAGGGAAAGAAACTTAATTCAAGCGGCAAAAAATTGTAATTTTATTTTCTTATTAAAAAGCAACTTAATTCAGGTAACTAATGGCAAACAATTCAAACTTCATTGTTAGTTATGTTGAGATTATATAAAATTTCCAGGTTTAATAATCGCTCAGCATAAAATTTATTGCCCAAAACTAAATCATTATTTGTATATAACCTATCTATTTGTATATTTAGTTAATAATTTTAAATGAAAAATAGATATTAATAATGTCTTACATGAATTTGATTCTATCTGGCTCGGATTCTAACAATTCTCTAATAGGTGATATCGGCAAATTTTTTGTATAATATTCTAAATATATAAAATAAATTAAATATATAAAATAAATTAAATATATAAAATAAATTAAATATATAAACAATTCATTACATTAATAATAAATTTAAAAAAGGGTTTTTTTAAACGTTAATAATAAAAAAAAATGAGGATCAAACCAATCTCATCTCTCATCATGGCAGAATAGACTCTCCACAAGGTCTTAAGACTCATTCCACTATCCATAAATATGGCGCCGGCAACGGATTCAAATATATCACCCAACACCTTTGGAACTTCTATATCTTGAACGGTGGCCACACTTTCTCCCTTTTGATTAAGAGCGTTTTTATCTTTACCCTCCTGGTAGGGGGAGTTGACATAGTGAGGGCTATGAGTGTGTTGATTATCAGGATTACACCATATTAGGAGCTAAATTTGTAAATATTATAATTTTACACTATGAGAATGTTAAAAGAGAAGCAAGCCCTCTTTAAAATTAAAAATATTCATTATTTTAAACAAAATGGGATATGGAAATATAAATTTGTAAAATTGTCTAAAAATCAAATATCAGTAATTAATAATATTCACTCACGTTATCTCCCATATTAAAAGTATCCTTCCCGAACTTCTTTTCCCTTTGGACCTTGACGAATCTATCTATAGCCCCGAACAATTTGGGAGAACATTGCAATAAAAACTTGTGAAACCCGAATTTCACAGCGAGCGAGGCAAATATAATGTTATTGACTAGAGCGGACCTCAAATCGGTCATCTGGCCGGGCGTGAATCGGTCGGAAAGATTGTAAAGATGACGGGTTATGAGGTAGTCTAGTAAAGCGTCACCTAGAAATTCAAGCCTCTGATAACAGTCGGTTAGCCTATGAAGGCCATAGGATGAATGTGTTAGCGCCTATAAACATTAGGTACATAAAGATTTTAAATCGTAGAATCAAATTGAGAAAAAAATTAAAACTTAATTTCTTTTTAAATAATGAAAAGTATTAGTGAACATCAGCTACAAAAATAACTGAAATAAAACAATAAATGGGTAAAAAATATAATCATGACTTTTATAAACCAAAAGCTTATTATTTAAAGTGTCAAAATCTTTAGAAGTTATTTATACATTTTTTTTAAAGATTTTCTTATATGAAATTTTTCATCAATAACAATATTTATATTTCATAAGATAGATAACTATTTATCTAATTAATGATCACTTATTATGATGACTCATTTTACCGTCAAACAAAAAAATATGAAAATTATACTTGAATAAGATAAGCAGGGTCGTTGAATTTGTAATTTATGACATCTTCAAAACGTTCCAAATTTGAGAAGATTTTGGCTATTTTAAGGTTATAATTAGGAGTGGAAATTATTAAAGGTGATGGAGGTAAATGATCCGTTACATTGGCCCATATCTTATCAATATCTTTTTTTTTAATGGACAATAAATAGATTCATCTTAAACATAAATTTATTATAATTGCATATTTTTTTAATATTATATTATGTATAGTTTTTTTTAAATTTAACTGAACAGTTAGTTATTCAAAAATCTTAATTTTAACACATAACATATAAAAATAGAGAATAAAATATATATTTTTAGTTTGAAATATTTTTCCTAATATGTTTTTATAAAAAGATGGGCCACTTGCCAAATCTAAATCTAATTTATATTTTTGACAAGTAAACGTAAATGGGAAAAATATTAACCTTCATCATTCTCGCAAATCACACTGCTTTTCGACTCTTCCAGTTTCTCTTCATCATTACTACTAGAACAAAGTATTTGGATACCCAGCCATTTCATAAAGTCGAGAGCCGCTCTGGCTCCACAAGATATAAGGTATGCCCCAATCAAAGATTCAACGCAATCGGCCAGGCATTTATCAGGTATCATTTGTTCTGTTCTCATGTCATAAGGAATCACGTCGGTTATCTCCGGGCAAGTTTTAGAGGGGTCAAATTTCCAATCCTCTAATAATTCAAGAAATGATTACAAATATTAGTTAAATATTTTGATCCGACCTTTTTCCTCTTTTTTTTATCTTCAATTTTCTTACATTCATTTAGTTATATATTTATATACAATTTAAAAATTAAAGAAAATATTATCAGGTGAAATAGTTTCATAAAATATTAGAGGTTTGTCAAACTTTTTTCAGGTGTAGGGTGAGCATCCTTTGATAGCCCAGTATTTAATACATTTTCATCGCATTTGACTTGTTGACTAGCAAGTTTGTAACCGGGAGCTAACCAATTTTCGAGAGGTTCAAATTTGGCTGATATAAGCATTTCTCCCACGCCTCTAATCTTTCCCAAGTGATAAAGTTTGAAATTGCTCACCTATTCACATGGGGTAAGTAAGAAAGTTAAGGCCATTATTTAAGCCAATTTTTCTAATTTTTTAAATGATACTACCTTGCCCTGTGCAAGTTTTAAAGCTTCGAGTTTTTTTAAATTTAAAGATATACTGCGAAGCTTCAATTCTAAGAAGTCCTATTAATTCACTTAGGACCAATATAGATTTATTTTGGGAATGTTTTGTCGTGTTAGTGTTGTTAAGCTCGATTTTTAAATACGGTTAACCTAATATATTACAAAAAAAATTTACGGAAGCCTAGAAAATTTGCTCATATGTGTCAGAAAGGTTTGGACATCTATGAATGAAATCTTGAGGATTGCATAATATTATATTAGTAATTAAAAATCAGTTAAATCGAGCTAGAAGATGATAATATTTTTAACATATGTTGAAAAAAAATTTTCGTTACTTGTTTACTGCGTTTGTATGATAATTTTCCCTCGTGACAAGTGGGCTCTGAACAGAATAGGTAAACTGTAACCGCCATTTTAAGAAAAGAATCGCCGATCAATTCTAGTCTTTCCAAATCTAGAGCATCGTTTGAGGTAGACATAGTTATGGCCCTTAATAAAAGACATAGATCCGGGCATCTAGGGATGATGTTAAAACCTCCTATATATTTTTTTAAATATTTGAATATAATTTCAAAACCTTTTTAAATACATATAATTTTATAAAATTCACGATAGCTAGCTATATATTATTGGATTATAAAATAATTTGCAAACTCAAAGAAGTTAAAAGAAGTGAAATTTTATGTTGATGACAATGTATGGAGTTAAAAATAATCATCGGTGAGTTGATAAATAAAAAGTGTTAAGTGGGTGTGATAATATGCAAACTACGAATAAAATAAGAATGACACGTTCTAAATATATTAAACCTTTCATATTGAGAGTAAACACGGCATGACGGGGATCTCTTTCGGTAAAAGGTAAAGGTTCCCTATCAACCTTTTTAAGGTAGGTTTCTTGGTCGTTACCACTTATTAACTCCTCTAACATTATATCTGTTTCTAGATCTTGGCGCGCTTCCAAATCTCCCATTTTTAAATCATTTGAAGCTTTATCTTTACTGGGACCGTCCAAATCTGTGTAGGGTTTATGCTTTTTACGACTTTTGGCATATATATCATTAAATTTAAGTAAATTCGATTTCTTCTGAGAATAATCGTCGGTACCGACATTTAAATCAACGGTGGTAGTTTGCTGCTTGTCAATAATGTAATGAATTGATAAGTCATTTTTGGAGATCATTGAGCTTAGAAAAGCGGGCAGGAAAGATATTTCGTCATTCGCACTTTTTTCTTTATCTTATATTTAAAAAAGTTTATTTATGAGTTATATGTAAAGAGCAGGGTTGTAAAACATCGAACCCGGCTTCAGTTCAGTATCATTTTACCCTAAATTTTCATTTTGAACCGAACCCAAATCCTAAATCCAATTATAAGTGTTTGTGTGAACCCTATTAAAAATTTTATTAAGGTTTCCGTTTAGGGCAACAAATTAATTTAACTTTTATATTTATTTATAGTTATAAATTAATAAATAAACCACGGTAAAGAAGAAAAAAAATCAAATGAAACATACAATTTTTTATATACAAGTAACTTTTAGAATTAACAACCTTACTTTTTTCGAAAAGTAACGAGCAATGCGTTATTTTAAGTAAAGTTTACAACCAGAGTCTAAAACTTGGCAAAAAATTTTTTAAATATGGTTCTAGTTCCTAATATCTTAAAAAGTGGGTTTTGGATATCGCGGTTCCGAGGATTTTGATTCCAAACTCTGTTTACCACACTTATAAATTATAATAGGTAAACTAACCATCCAGCTGTTTTGATCGAGTTGCATCGATAACTTCCAGAGCTTTCAGTTTACGAATTTTTTCTTTAATGAAAGCTTCATCCATATTAACAAGCGCTTTCGTTTCAATATCCATATGAACAACTGTATCCAACCTTGTTTCTCCGGTAGAGTTTTTGTTAATATCAGTAGACAAATTACTATTTTCACTGTTATCTGTTATATTACAAAAAAATAACAATATATTTGTTATAATTTTATTCTGTATTTATATTAAACATAAACAATTTAATACTTACCCTGACGGGAAGGGGACGAGGGGTTAGCGGAAAAGTAGCATTCATCCGAGAGTAGAGAGTCTGAACTTTCGTCAAAACTAGCGAAAAGTGATGGTTTTGATCCGCAAGTTTTTTCTTCGTCAAACGAGATATCCGATTTCTAATTGAAAATAAAAATAATGGTGTAAGTTATGTAATATTTAGAAGAGATACAGTAATAAATCTCGTGAAAATGCTTCTTCAAATATAAGCGCAAAAAAAATTGTAATATGCTGGTTCAATATTATTTTAAACGATTTTGGTGTATATTTGTATTATTGTAAAATTCTTTATTCATATATTATTACTAGTTGTAAAATATTTATTTATTTGGAAGATTAATCTGGTATGAGTTTATCATAGGCGTAGCTAGGATTATCCATGGGAGCATATGCGTAACTAGGATTTTCCTATGGGGGGAGAGGCACTATTAGGAGGGATCCCATAAATTTTATTGAAGGTCTTTAGGGTAGGCCTTTGGCTATATTAAATTTTTATAAAAATATTATTAGAGTTTCACTTACATATTTTTTTTTAAAAATTTTGAATTATAGTCGTTAATTTAAAAAGTTATTGATTTTTACTAAAATTTTTCAAATTCTTCTTTGTAGTGATATATTGGGAGATAAAGGTAGGGGGGGGGGGTGAAGGGGGAAATTTTTATTAGCTTAAAATGATATTTACAAGAAAAGACGAATTCGCGATGGGCCTCTTGGCTACGCGCCTGCGTTAAAATATCTTTTGGGTGACCTTTCCCAAAAAATTTAGTATTGCTTTATACACGCTTTGTTGCCGAGTTAAATTTTACACTTCATTTATTTCTATTAGTTTAAAATATAATTAATGAAAACTTGCAAGGAGGAAAAAGCGAATAATTTACAATATTTTATGTTCATTTTTAATAAGTTCAACAGTTATGTAGTAACTTTCTAAGGCGGCGCAATTACAACAAAAATAAATAAATAATAGATCTGCAATTTATAAAAAATATACATAATGAATGGGGTTGTTTATATATGTCGTATTGGGATATGGTGTCTTTGGGATGCGGAACCTCTTAATTTTATATCATTTATTGAGAACGATTTGTAAATTTAGAAAACCTGATTTGATCGGAAATGTATTCCAGCATATGTAGAGCAACTACCCTATGAATTTGAGATAATTTTTGCCATAAAATTATAAGAAAAACCAATATAAAAATGAATATAAAGTTAAATATGGTTCAAAGGTTTATGGCAAAATTGTCTGAAATTCACGAGTACTCCATACGCTGGAAAACATTTCCGGTCAAATCAGATTTTGCAAATTTTAAAATCGCCTTAAATGATTTAAAATTAAAAACTTCGACTTTATGAAACAAGAAAAATTGTGACTTTCGGCCGACCTCTTTCAATTTCAACGATTTGTAGGAACATTATATATATATCAGTTATATTCAAAAACAAAATTTTAATTAAATCTGCTCTTTACCTATGTTAAATAATTAGTTTCCATTTAAAAATTAAATTATTTCGAATAATGAATTTGGCAATAATAAAGTGATTATGAGAAAAACATCAAAATTATCTTTTTTAAAAAAATACGAGTCATCTTATGAACAGAAGAAATTTGAAATTAATATTTCGAAATGAATAGGAGAGCTTCAATTTTTTGTTTACTTATTTTCTAATAATTTCTTCAATAATTAACGAGAATGGGTAATTATTTAAAAATATCGCGAATAATATATACAAAGGTATAGATGTTAAATGAATGTTGCGATGCAATAAAATGCTTTATTTATTAATGTTTAAAATAATTCAAAGCATTATTATTGATTTATAAGTAATATTGACATGTAGTGACCGTATAAATAAAGAAAGAATACCTTGTCTTCCTCATTGCCACCATTTTGCATAGAATAATCTCCATCGTCTTCAAGCAAAGCTTTGTAACTAATTCCTTCAAAATCCGACATGCTATATAGGCCAGCAGAACTCAGGTCATTTTCGACTTCATGACTTAAGGTATTCACCTCTGATGGTTTACTAACAGCATCGTAAATTTTATCTTCGTACTGGTAATGTGGAGAAACTATAAAGCGATAATATAATTTTTTTTACTTTGGATTAAGTTTAAATTTATTTTTAGTTAATAAGTTTAATAAATCTTAAAAAAATATACTCAATAGAAAATCATTAAAAAATTGTAACCATCAATTTAACTCTTAATAATGTTATTAGTATTGTCTAAATATATAATAACAAATCTTTTTTTTAATTAAAAAAAGGTCTAAAGGTAATTTACATGGATTCACAATAAGATTGGCATCTTTGCCATCATTGAGTGCGTATAATTTATTCGTGGTCGTAACTTGAACTTCTGATAAACTCCATTCCGTCATACTATTAAAGGGATCTGTTACAAATATATATTTAATTGTGATGAATATTATATGATCTTGTATTAATCAGGGTTGACATGATTAATTAATAGACAATTGAGCAAGAGTATTTGAACTACCAAAAATATAACGCTAAATAAAATATTCGCTTTCGCTAGGCTAACTTTGTTTAAGATATAATGCCTTTAATGCAAGGGTAATTACGCGTTGACATTATGCCCAGAACTCTGCGAGGATCACATTAATGTTGGTCTCTATTTTTATCGAAAGGATGTCTTAGCCAGAAGTAAAAATTTTAAAGTGCAGATAGAGCATAATTTTCACAATAATTCATTGGTTATTTACAGCAAAAATGACAGGGTTTACAGTAAATTAGATCAATGGTCTGGGATTAAATCACTACACAAACCAAAAAATTTTTTTAAAAAGTAGCCGCAGATCTCTACCATATGAATATTTTGTCGGCTAATTCAATTCACTAAATTAAAGCAATTAATGATTGCACTATAAGGTTATACAAATTCATAGTATAAATTATAGGGCTTGGATATGTATATGTAAAAGTGCTAAAAAATATGACGTTATGGTGTATATGAATATCTTTATGAGTTGCATTTGTTTATAATTAAGATATAGCCCGAGGTTTGAAAGTACCGCAATAAAAAAAAGATAAAGATTATAGAAGTAAAGAATAAAAATATAAAAAATGAAACAATATTAATCTCTAAATAAGTCACTACTAAAAATTTTAATATATTTATTCGAAGTATATAATTTTGATTGATTAAATATTACCCATTAAATGACGCCTGAGTATTCTAATAATTAGAGCTCTGCTCGAACCGGTCTAAATTTGACCAAATTCGGGTGGGTGGGACTCGGACAGAGATTTTCTCAAACTCTGTAGGATTTCGTTTATATTAGAAAGTAAACATAAACAAGAATCTAATTTGTTAAACAACGGTCAATTCATTATTAAAATACAATAAAATCCATTATAAATATATTAAGGAATATAATCAAGAGATCGCCTCCAATATTCTAAATATTCACACCTAGCAAGGAACTATCTAGTTAGCTTTAGAAAAAAAATATGATTCATGCTGGATTCGATAACTATCGGATTAGTAATCTACACTTACCGACTAGACCTCTGACGCTTTCAGATTTATTTTAATATATATTATAATCATGTGACGGGTCGATCCTAACAAAATAAATAAAATACCGATTCGTCCTAGTAGTAACTAACAATAAGCGACCTTAATCTTAAAATTTATTTCTAACCAGATTTAACCATCGAGAAAATTTAAATTTTTTTGTTTCCTATACAATTTTGGATTGAACATGGATCATTTTTAAAAAAATTTTAGATCGGTGGGACAAAATTTAAAAAAAAGAAATTTCAGATCGGGCTGGAGCTGAAAAATAGGTCCGATGTACTCTACAATAATATGGTGATAAAAGGACCAACTTTTTAATAAAGCGCATTCCTTTATTCTTAATCGGAGCCTATAACAAGTAACATTTTTAATAAGATTGGTATAAAATATATACAGTTGCGAGTTATGATTTTAAAATGAAGAGTTGAGAGGTGGTAATTTTATGAGCATTTTTCATATCTTTGGTCCTCTTTGTTTTGTAAAAATGTCGGAGTGGCATATTATATTATTTTTATATTTACAGGTCACATGCCTAGTATTGTTAAACGGCTCGATTTTTTAAAGCGGCTAACCTAATATTTTAGCTAAAAAATATTACGCCAGCTATGTCTTTTCGTTAATAGATGTTTAAACCTTGCTGCAATCTATGAGCAAAATCTCCAGGCCTGTGTAATATTTTTGGTTTAACTATTGATCGTTATTAAAAATTGCTACGTTTAACAACATTATGTATGCCCCTTCCGATACATCAGATAGTTTAATATCATTATCAAGAAAAGAAAGGCAGGGGCTATGTGGCTAGTGTTGTTAATTTGTTTGGTTGTAAAATTTACGACCCAATTTGGTGCTCATGATTGCTCCGAGCATGAACCCGGGGTTCAAACTAGCATTGTTAAACGGCTCGTTTTAAGCCGATTTAGAAAAGGCTAACTCAATATTTTAGCCAAAAAAATATTTCCTAAGGCTCGAGATTTAGCTAATAGATGTCTAGACCTTTGTGCGATCTATGAGCCAAATCTTAAAGGCTTGATAATATATTTCTGGATAAAATACTGAGTTAGCCGTTTACAAAAATTGGCTAAAATAGAGCCGTTTAACAACACTAGTTCAAATTAAGAGCAAAAACCCATTTATTTTTATTTGTTTTTTGTTGAACTTAGGAAATTAAATGTTCGATATATGAATCAATCGAGAGCTAATCAAAAGATCTATTCATTAGGATAAGAGTTTCCTCTCGATGAGATAATCTAGGGCTGGGGGGGGGGGGTCAGGAATATTTTTAACAACACAAAAATTATATGGGTATTAAATAAGGTATTTTATTTATACAATCATAATTATTATTCTAAGTGGGCAAGTCTAGGTCTTGAGAGTTCAGGAATATTTTTAACAACGCAAAATATTGATATGGGCATTAAATAAAAGGTAATTTAATTATGTTTTAATTGTAATCATAATTATTATTCTAAGTAGGTGGATCTAGGTCTTGAGGGGTCAGGAATATTTTTAACAACTCAATATTGATATGGGTGTCAAATGATGGCTTCAATGGACGGGGTTCTAGTTCTAGCCTAATTTTTATGGGGGTTTAGACCCCCAAGTCTAGACCTATCCATTATTTTAACATTGGGAGGGTTAATAAATATTTTTAAAACAATGTGTGGGCGAATTTTAAATGTTTTAGCGTGTAAGGAGCAGAAAAAACTTATTTATTAAAAATCATTTTTATTTCATAATTTTGCATATTTTATAGGTTTAAAAATAAAAATACATTAAAATAAAATAAAATAAGAAGCCAAAACAACCATTGAAATAATTTTAAACAATGAGCGGATAACGATGGGCGGGTGAGAGAAATTCTCTTTTAAATAATTGCCGGGCGTTAGGGTTAAAACCTGCCCATTGCATACCTCTAGTTCAAAAATCTGGCAGGTCAAAAAAAAGGAAGATTGGAATAATAAAATTTAACTTTTAAAAAAGTTAATTTAAGTATAATTTTTAAATTATCATATTTTTTATAAACTAGCGTGTTTTTAAATAGGACAAATGAGCGGAATAAAATTATTAAAACTTAGATTAATTTTTTCCTAAGCGGTTGTCGGTGCGCCAAATTCACAGGTGCCTGATAAATTTGCGGCGCCGAGAGGCATTTTAAACTTTTATTAAATAAAATTATGCATTTTTATATAATTGTCGCCAATAATATATATAAGCAAATAAAATATTTAGGTAATATAATATACATTAATTTAAAAATTAAATTCATCTAAATGATAATTGTCGTGAACAAATATAATTTTATCAAAATTGATAAAACATAAAATGTTCTTATGGCGTTAAGTATTAATCGAGAGAAAATATTATTTCGCTAGGTATATAAGTTGCAGGTATACAAAGAACTTTCCTAGCTAAATTAGCAAGGAGTGATCGAGATATTTATAATATATGGGCTCAGTGGCGTAGACAAAGGAAGGGTTAACCCCCCCCCCCCAATAACCTCCGAATTTTTTTTAAAATATATTGTTAAACAAAAAAGATAGTTTTACAAATTTTAATTTATTTTTTATAATTTTTAATTAAAATAAAAAGTATTCAATTTGGTAAAAATAAACTGCAAACTTTTATTTTCTTTTACCAGTTGAGTCTGAATTATTAATTACACTTGAAAAGCGAGAGGATATTAAGAAAATTCCAGAGTTTTACTCTGATGATTTATCAGGATCGTATGATAAGTTGCTTTGTGATGTCGAATTTTGGCATAAAAATCTTGACAGAATAGAGTAAAGACAAAAAATGCTTTGCAGACCTTTTCTTAGTGTAATTGCTCTTTAGATTCCCTGCTTAACATCAAAACATGTTTTTTCATTTTAGCTACCTTACCGATTATTAGGAACTGCACTAATGAAAGGTCTTTTTCAACTTTGAAAAGGTTAAAAACCTATTTAAGAAATAGCACCGGTGAACCGTTTAAATGGAATAACCCTATTAAATATTTATAAGATTATTCTAGGTAAAAATTTGAATTAGCCAAATCTCAGAGAAAAGTAGATCTCTCTTTATAAATTCAGATCATAAAATTGCAATATGATTATACGTTCTTAGTCATAATTTTTATATGCAAAACTTAATTATAAAAAATTCTGTCATAATATTTTTTATATCATACTATTTTTAATAAAAGTATTACATTAATAAGAGTTATATATATTTTGATAATATGATCATTTGTATTAATTATAATTGTTAAATTATATTTTTTTTTAAATACCGTTATATGCAACAAGAATTACTTGTATATATTTTATATCTTTTTAAAATAGTTATTTACAATAAATTTTTAATTAATAATCTGAATAAAATTTATATATTTTAAATTTATTTTATTGTATATTATTAAAATAAACACATAGTTAAATAAAGGGATGTTATTATACTATTTAAATATAAATAAAAATAATTATTTTTAACATAGAATAAGATATATTGAGTGATCATAAAAATGGATGATTGGTGGGGAAGGGGGGGGGGGTTTCTTTTTCTACACCGAATGGATTAAATTGATTTACAATAGAACACTAAATATTGATAAAACTTTCAGAATAATGCTTTCAGTCGTAAATTAATCATAAATTTGGCCAAAATTTTGTTTAATATTTTTTTGTTTATGCTAGCTACTTTAGCAATTAGACACTAATAAAGCACAAAATATTGGCAAATTTTAAAATTACTATTTTGTTCATTCAACTTTAACAAAGATGATATAAAGATAGCTACTGAAAAATAATACTTTGGTATTTTTTAGGGATCCGGCCAAAGGAGAGGGAGTTTCGCCCCCAAAAAAAGTTTTAACCCCCCCCCCCCGCCATGGATAAATCGTGGCTACGCTACTGTATGGGTTTAATGATTGAGCCTTATCTATAATTTATCTTTCCTGTATTTCGATCATTGTCAAGGTTTAAAGTCTTTGAGGCACATCTCGTCTTAAAAATGCTGAAATAAACATTGGATTTTCCCTAAATTTATTTTTCGTCTATTTTTATTTCTTTAAATATATTTTAAGGAAGGCTAAAATTATTCTCAGTGTGCTAGTTTTTGATGATTATCATAAATTTTTAAATATTCTAAATTATTAAATGAAATTGAATTTGATATTTTTCTTTTTGGATCGTAATTCTAGGTTCTCATTTTTAGAAAGGCAAAATATAAATTCTTATATAACATTTTTAAAAAATTAAATATAATTCTAAAAATAGATGCGAGGCAAACCTTTTTAAAATTATTTATTAAATAAAAAATGGTTAATAACGATTTAAAAATTTTTTTTATATATTTTGCATAAAATATAATTTTTTTATTTCAAAATTGTATCTAAGAGTTATTCAACTATCCTTTAGAGGGTTGAATTTGGTATCGGCTAAGAATATTGGCAGATACTAGGAATGCATGATTTTTTACTATGAAAAATCTATCAATATCCTGTCAAACTTTAATTTAAGCCTTCAGAAACTACTCCAAGATTATTTTTTGAAGGCCAATCTGAATCGGCCGATACAGATCCGATATTATTAATCTGACTTGGTTCGTTAAACACATTTATATTAAAATATTTCTTATACAATAATAAAAATATCTTCTCAAATTTTTAATTATCTTATCATTTTAAGTTTATTTATTCATTTATATTCATCAATGTAAAAGTATATTTATATTGATAAATCATTTATTTATATTAGTAAAATTGTAATAATTTTTTCGTTCCAATTTTATTGTGTTGAAAGTAGAATCCCATATTATGTGATCAATATAAATTGTTAGAACTTTTTAAAAATTGTCTTTACAAGTTTTAAGTTAATTAATATTCTTAAAAAAAATAAATTATGTGAAGCTTGCTAGGTAACCATTTACAGGCATGGCTCGATTCATTTATGTAAAAAAAATTATTTCCTAGTCCATCTACATCTAGGTTTTCTTTAATTTGGTTATTTGGTGGTCAGGGGGTTGATAATTATATATACAATAAAAAATGAATAATATTTCTACTATTTCGCAATATATTACAATTCACGAAATTGCCAAAACAAAATTTTTTCCTCTAGCTAGGTTGATTAACGTTTGTAATTTTTTCAAGATATTTCGAGTCCTGGGAAATTACTTGTGAACGAGTCGCGATTTAACTTAATTTATCAGAAGACTATGGCTATACCAATATTAAATATCGGATCAGGCCGATACCTGTTAAAAACCGATCTGATCTTTTTACTTTTCTTTTTTTAATTATTTTATGTATATTTATTTTACATTATATTTTCTAAATTTTTTTTAAAACAATGCAAATGCACAACACCCTTTAAATTTTATTTATATTTTAAAAGTTTTTTTATAAAAATAAAAAGGAACACCCAAAGTTTTATTTATTTTAAATCTTTTTGAATAATTACGCCAATTTTATTATTTATACCTTAAATAAAAGAATTTTTTTAATGGTACTGAATTATGGAAATATTTTACAAAAGACAAGATAATTTTGCAAAATGCGTTATCTAACTGTGTTATTCTTACTCTATATAATAGAAGATAAAATTACCCAATTGGGATATGAACAAGTATTATAGATTTAATACTAATATTAAAAAATATTGGATCTATCAAATTCTGATCTTATCTCATCCTTTCCAAAATTTAGGAAAAGTTCCAACACAATTTTGGTTTAAATGGTGTTAAAATCATATTTCTGTGATTTTTCAATAAATATATTGCACTTATTTATGTTAAAAAAATCTTTGTACTTCATATTATTTTAGTTACATTTAATTAGAATAAAAATAGACAATTACTAAAAAAATAAAAGGTTACCAATGTTCCCAAAAATATCGCTGTTAACGGACGTTTGTTTAGACTTTTTATCAAGGGAATTCAATTTTTTCGAATTAGGACTAATGTCTAACGTTATAAATTCATTTTCCAAAACTCTTTCCCCAAAATTTTTCCCAACTTGTTTATTCGATTCCGTGCTCAGATTCCTAATTCTCCATCCTTCCTTTCCTCCCTCTAGTTCATCCTTCGCATTATCAAACCACTAAATAAATTGTGTTTTTTAACAAAGATTAAACAATTTTTTTTATTATCTAATTTAGTATTTATAAAAAATAGTTTATTAATTATACTGGTCGATAAAAATTTAGCTAAAATTAAGGTAGCTGCTAATTATATAAATTCATAAAATTTTAAATTCCGCGAAGGAGAGCGAGAGCGAGGAAGGCGAAAGATTCTATTTTAGAGGGACATAAATGCTGTCTATTTTCATTTTTATTATTTTTTTTAAATTCGATTGATATATTATATAAAATATTTGAAAAATTAGTAGGTTTTATAAAATGTGTAACAATTTGAGAAGGGCGCGATTGGTAATATAATTTTTAAATACAAAATATAATTCTTTTTTTCTAAACTCATTTTACAATAATATCATATATACCATCATTTCATTTCGTATAATAATAAAAATTAGTTAGTATAAAAAAAATATACATCAATTATGAGATAAAATTATTTTTTTAGTTTATCACAGGTAGTAATATAGATAGAGACTTATGAACTTTTAAGAGAACATGATTATTGCAGGCGAATCCAAATTGACCAGAAGCACCATAAAATGTAAAATTTTAAGTATAAAATCGGATTCTTGTTCACTTCTATATATTTAAATTTGAGAATAAAAAGATGTATTTGCCTAAAATTATGATGGTACAAAATGTCAAAAAATTATGAGAATGCACCTAGGATATATTAATATGTAGTTGTTAATGGAAATAATATATTTAGGTGAATAAAAACATTAGTCATTTTTCCGTGACAATAAAATATATTTTAATGTTAATTGTACTTTATAATTATAAAAATGAGAATTTAAAAAATGTATTGTAGGTGTAACGAGAGGTAGGGATTTATAATAAAATGTTATTATGCAAAATTACAATTATGAAAGTTATGGATAACGTGTGAAAAGTTGGTTAAGGATGCTACTCGTCGGAGAGATAACATGGCCGTTTAAATTATTAATGTTTAAGGCATTGTACTGATTTAAAGGGGAATTGATTAAAGTATTGAAGTGATCTAAAGAGGGGACTGATGGTGCGTCTCTGAGTAAGCTGTTATTCGCATTCCACTGATTGGGAAATTTAAAAATCTTACGTGTTTCAAGTATCATTTTATTCACATTTTTACAAGTAGAGGAATCCATAAAATCACTTTCAGAGTCTTCACAATAATCAGAGTCGTAAAAATCTGATATTGCAGCTTCTTTCCTCTTTACACGTTTAGAAGAACTATTCAACATGCTACGGTTTAAGATTTCGAGATGGAAGGTGTGGTCCTGTTCCTGTTTGCAATTATTTTTTCTCCATTTTTTATTGTCATTCATTCCTTCACAGTTATTATTCTTAAATCTTCCCTCCTCGGACTCCTTTCTCACTCTCTTTCGCGGACCTATATTAACCTCGTCTAGTATAGAGTAATCAACGGATCGATCCCGGCCATCAATTTTCTCTATTTTATAATGTAGTGGACGCACACATACAATGTTAGCTTCTCCTAACTTGACCCCAATTTTGTTTTCTGTCTCCTTCTGGTTGGAAGGTTTATTACTATTCGGGTCTGTTAGTCCAGCAGAGATTTCAGTCATTTCATCTATTAAATCATTTTGAGGTTGTTCTGATTCCATATGTCTGATGGGGAATAAATAATATATAATCACCAAATAGAATGTCAATATAATCGATTTCTTAAAAAACGTCATACCTTATATTCTTTCAGAACCATGAATCTTAAACTACCATTGAAATTTAAATCTGAATAACCTAGATTAATTTTACATCGAGAAAAACTCATTTTTAGTATAGATTTTCTCGCAACTTGAACATATGCGATATATTTACCATTAAGGAGTGTGATTGGTGAGCCAAAATCTAACTGAGTTAAAAATTTCCAAATATATGCATATCTAATAAACTATCTATATGAGTTTTTAAAATAGTATATCAGAATTCATATTTTTATATTACCATAACCCTAATTTAGACTGATTGGTAATCTAAAACATGCAATCATTTTAATGATTACAAAAATCTTATATACAAAATTCATATCAATCATTTTGACGCTATTTATTCAATTATAGGCTGACTCGATTAACTAAAATTTGAATAAATTTTAGTTTCTGGTGGTCATTTAATAATTTATAAAATGGTACCCAATTGAAAAATAAATTTTATAATAAGATAAGGGATACAACATCTCTTTTAAAAAAATTAAATTATTTTTATTATGATCATTATAAAATTTAAAATCCATTAAACACATTTAATAAAAGTTTTAATGTTATTAAAGTTTAAATATAGATTTTTTTAATAAACAAAAAAATAAAAAATATTAGAAATAAATATATGACAATAAGAAAACGTAAGAATCTTTTTGATGAAAAGAAATCTTAGATAGAAACGTTCCAGATAATTTATTATAAAATATATTGTATTGGGATATGGAATTCATGGGGAATTCGGAATTTCCCAATTTTAAATTAAATGTTAAAAATCAGATTTGACTGGAACTGTATTCCAGAATGAGTACCAATAATATTTATTTTTTTAAATAATTTTTATCAATTTTGTTTTAAAATCGTAAATTTTTCCGCTAATATAAAATGGATCTATTTATATTTATTTGAAAATAAAATTAATTAGAAAATTTAAAACAGTTAATTTAAATATACAATATATTTTCAAAATTTGGGTAGTTTTTAGTAAATCCTTAAATAAATGACGACTGAGCAGTAAAAAATTAAGTCATTTCCTATTCTGATCCCTATATATACAAAAATATAAGAAATAGGAGAATAATATTTTTACCAAAATAGATTACATAAATCTTAGCATACGTTTGATACCAAATTTATAAAAATATAAGAAATAGGAGAATAATATTTTTACCAAAATAGATTACATAAATCTTAGCATACGTTTGATACCAAATTTATAAAAATGAAATGAGGTAGGCCGAAAATAGTCTTTTTTTTAAAAAAAATACAATCCCAATCCAAAGCTTTTGGTGTAAAATTCAATTACAAAAAAAATGCAATAAACAAACCCATTAAAGCAAATTTCAACTTTGTCAGAGACAACATTGGTAACTTCGTTTCCATCACCCTTGTTATCTAGTTTAGATATAATAGTATCATCTCCTTTCACATTATTAGAATCGCCTGCTATATAGTGCAAATTAACAGAGCTATCATTATAACCAATTCCTTTATCTATCGTAGTCTCGTTATTTTTGTCAGGAATCTTAGTCGTTATTTTGTAAAGCAACGGCTCTATCTTTTCAATTCGAGGCCTTTCCTTGTCACCTGTGCTTCCATTCATTTTGACCCTTCGATTAATCGCAGGAACTATCTTGTAAAGCAAAGGTTCAATCCTATCGATTTCAGGTCCTCTATAATCCTCTTCCATCATCACCTTTTCGTTGCAAAGGGTTCCCCAACCAAAATCAAGGGATGGGAAGTTATCACCATTCTGGTTATCAAGCTGTTCAGGGCCGAGCCCAGCTTCCTGAGCCAGAGCAATTCTAAGCTCATCACACACTAACAAATAATTGAGTCGGTGAAGCAAAGCCGGCAAGCAAACAGTTTTGTGCCAGAGTGGTGAAGAGAAAGGATGTATCCTACAAAGTTCAGGCACTAACATTTGTTCCCTACGGGCCACGGTCATTTCCTTACGTTTGGTAGCTTTCACAGAGTCATGAGAGGTAGAAGATGTGGGAAGTAATGTGCCTTGTCTTTTTTAGTGAAGTAAAGAAAATAATAATAAATATACCAAATGTATTAAATTTTAAGATTTTACTATATTTATTATAGTAATTCTGATGGCACTTATAAAAAAATGGCACTTTGTCATAAATCTTGGGGTGAGTAAGTTGAGGCGCCCCACGGTATGATCGACATCTAAAAGGTTCTGAGTTTTGTTGGTTAAACAAATTCCGTATTTGGTTTTATAGTAACTTTCAAAAGTTTCGTGAGTGATAGTATTGGATTCTTTTATAGCTTGATTATCAATATTTTCGAGTTCCATCTTGTTTGCTACATCTGTAATTTTAAAATGTTACTTTTGTGAAATTTAAAATAAATTTCATCATTTCAGAAAAAGATAAAACTGAATTAATTATCCAATCCTTCCCTGAGCTATGATTCCTGCATTCCTAATTGTTTAAAAATATTATTAAATTATTCTCTATGTCTATGCTAACAAATCTAATAAATAAAATGAGTTCAGGCAAGGGTCAATATTCATGAAGGATCTCAGACAAATTGAGTTGTGCTAATATAAAAAATTTTGTGATTCAAACCAAACCTATAAATAAATAAATCCTTTCATATAAATATCCGATACACTGGTCTAGCAGGATATTTGTAGTAAGCACAAATTTTGAAAATATTATCCATAAGATATCTAATAAGTTATATTTAACGTTTACACTAATGACAATTTAATAGAATTTGGATTGAAACCTTAGTTAGAAGATAATATTTAATTGTTTTGCAGTATCAAATACAATTAGCTTATACTTAATTTGTCAAGATGTAAAATTCTAATATAAGGTATACTCTAACAAGTCCAGTAACCACGTAGATATAATGATTAAATATTTTTATAAAACCTGTTTGAATTTTTGAATCCATTTTTGTGGTCACGTTTTCCAGAACTTTGTTCATGCTATTAGTGACATCTTCACCTATAGTATTTTCTGAGATTTGAGGTTGGGATTTAGAAAGATTGGAAGTCGCATAATTAGCATTATTCGGAAAAGGACTGAGAGGGGTCATGCTCGTGAGTATTTCAGCGACAAAAAAATACATTGGTCGATCAAAATGCCTGTATATTGGGGTAACCACTGAATCCATAAAACTAATTTATTTATAATTAAAAAATTTATGTTTACAAATAAATATTTTGTGTTATAATATAAAGAAATTGGGGCAATGTAATGTAATTTCTCAAAAGTGATTTTTATTTATGGAAAAAATATGAAAATTAAATTTATTGATTTAAATGTAATTCAAATCCATTTCCAAAATTTTATAAAATAGATAGCTGATTATTATATTTTATTAATTTAAAAATTCTTGTTGGTTTAATTATATCCCGGAAATTGAGTCTAAAAATTTTTAAGGCAATCCATCATTTTTTTAAAATGTTATTTTATAAAATTGTTTAATATCTATTTCATCCTTCGTTTCCATATGGTCTAGATTTTAATATTATATTTTAAAACTTTATCAATGTTTGCTAATAATCGTAGCTAATGAGCAAGTATAACTTATCTTAAAATCAAACTTAAATCAGCAGGTATTTCATCATCTAATTATTATTTCAATATTATTATTAATTGCCTTCTTTTAGTTGCAAAAATTTGATATTTCTTGAGACATATAACAAATCAATTCCTTGTTAATCATAATTACATTATTTCACACTACTCCTTTCCTATTTCCTCTAGTTTATGAGTTGATTTTCGTTTTTGGAACATTTATTTTCAGTCCTACAAGGACACTTGAGAAGGACTTTAGTTGAAATGTTTACTTGAGAAATATCATCTGCAAAGAACAGATTGGAGATAATTTTTCTGGGTATCTTAAGACTGCTAGAGGGTAAAAGTGTAACCAAAATACATTTAGATTCAAAAAGATTCATTCCTTGTGTAGTCTATGAATATATAAGGTGCCAGTTTGTCCCTGTAGGGCGATGTTGAAATTCCAAATTATCGGATAAGTTGACGACTAACCAAACTTATCGAGTATTTATAGTTTAAATCGATAATAATATATTTTTCTGAGATATCATAATATCGTAAAATATGATACATATCTTTTCTATGAGTGCTGTGGATAGAACCTTAATATGAATCTTTAGATGTGGATTTGCTTTATGCAATTTAGACTCTTCCTAAACCCAGTTAGTTTGATTCATATGAAGTATTGGATCTACTATGGGGGTATGTGAGTAAAGAATAGATATGTAGATAAAAGATTTTTAAAAGGTGAAGACATTTTACTTTTAATTTAAAGTAAATAAATCCCAAAATAAAATATTTCAGATGAAAATTAAATAACAAATCTATATTAGTGATCATTATACTTACTCTTCCATCATCAATTCTTTTTTCTCAGTAATATAATTCGTTAACAAATAATAATTTACTCCTTTTTATTAAATTCGAATGGAGGCCGGTTAGAGTCTTTTAAATCAACAACTGATTCGCTATCTTTGGCGAACACATAATCCATATAATTAAAATCGATCCAATTATATTTTTCCATTTCTTGATCAGATTCATCTAATGATAAATAATTATATAAATAAATAATATGTATAATATGCCAAAGAATATTAAAATTACATGTACGACACAATGATATTAATACTTGTCACCTTAATTATAATGATTAATTATCTTCAAATTTGTTAAAAAAGATATAAACCAATTTTATTTTAATTTTTTTATTTATTAAACGGTTATTAACATAATCACTAAAAAATAATTTAATTGATAATGGGAATTAGTTGCCCTTTGAAGACAATGAGGATGGAAAGCTTCTGATTTGTTATGAATGTACGATTCATTTTTCTCCTGATAAGTAGTTAAAATGAGTCATTCCAAGTCAAATAGATCAAAAACATGTATTTAGGACGACTCTTCCAATTTGTACTAAATTTGGTAAACAAGCTAAGGTTCATGTAACCTATATTCTGGAAAAACTTCCGGTTGATATACTTTTGAAGATATTAGAGGTAGAAACATAAAAATAAATTTTTAATGAGTGTCAATTGAACACTACACAATTGTAAATAGATCCATTCCATGATGAATAGACCAGGAGAGATTCATAACCCCCATATTTATGAAACTTCATGATGGTTATGTAAAGCCCTGCTTATATAATTATCAAAGTTTAAAAACTCTGGCTAAAACTTATCCAGAGTTATGGGCTATCATGGTCTAATGCGATCTCGGTTTTAACAATCCCAAATTACTCAATAAATATTTAGTTCAAATGTATAAATTATATAACACTCTGCAGTCCTAAAATAAGCCCAATCTGGGTCAGAATTAAATTTTTTGTTTTACAAGGTTAGCCCATATTTAAGAAAAACATTTTGGGCTCAAATCGAGTTTAACAACACTACTGTGATCCTATGATTTTATTGACATTCTATTTTATTGTGGTTTTGGATGTTCAGTATTTTACTATGTCCCTGAGAGTTGAATGGTTTATGTTTAAAGCTTTAAAATCTTTGTTGATGAGCTAAAAGTCGAATTTCACCAGATGTTGCTTTCTAGTACCATTAAAATTAGAATTTATATTAAAATGGTTAAAGTAGTTGTATGGAACATGGGTAAAATAAATTTACAAATATGAAATAATCGAAGATGGTCAAGCATTGAACGGGAGCAGTCTAGTGGCCAAACATGTTTGAAATCTATTTTATAAAAAACAACCCTTCCAGATTATCAAAATATATTAAATTTTGCATTGTATATCATTAACAATCATATATATTAGGTCATAAAATAAAATTAAAAAATTATATATTTTGAAAATTTAAGCATATATGGGTGGCCGAAGCAATAGATATATATAATAAATATTTATTAATGTATGGCAAAAAAATCCCTTTGAATATTAATAAAACACGCAATTTGTTGAAATTATCGAATCGTATCAAAAATGTGGGTTACATTTTTTGGCTGTTTTAACAGGAAAATAAAAAATATGGGTAGTAGTTAATAAAATAAATGTATAAATTTTTACTAAGGTATGGGGAAAAAAATTGCATATTAAAAAAATATTCAATTTGTGGAAATTATCGAATTTATAAAAAATGTGGATTTAATTTTTAAGCTGCTTTAAACGGGAAAATAAAAATTATATACCCCTACCTAATAACCATCATGATACCCGATAAAAATAATTAAATATAGTACCTTAAAATAAACTTAATTACTCAAATATTTCTTAAGCCAAATAAAAATTTATATACCGATAATTGTTATAAGAATATTGTAAGGAGCCGACACCATATCAAATATAATATTTTTGGTAGTTATTCTCAGCACTTTATGGAAGATATATTCGTGGAAATTTATTAATTTGGTCAACTGTGATTCTTCTAAAATTACATCGTCACTAATTAGCCTTTTTGTGATAACTATTTCTCCTGCCCGAGTGTATAATGGGAATACTGGAATCTTTGAACAAGAAATAATTGGATTAGTTATGTGTAAATAATATTTTAAAATTTGATAAAGGGTAAATTAGAGGTGGGCACTTAAGGACTATCATTATGAAAACGGCAGATATATTAATTAAACCCTATGTCAGGCCTTTATCATACATGACTAATAGATCAACCAAAAACCAAGTTCTACATCAAGGTCATAAAAAAATAGTGATGGTCAGATGCCGTTTTACTTAAGAATAACTAAAATATGAATCCATTTAAGTATAATACCGCAATCCCTTCACCTGCCCCTGTAGAGCAGGTTTTTTTTAGCGTAGCTAATGCTGTATTAACTGCCAAGCATTCCTGTCTATCAGGAAAAAATTTTGAAAATTGTTATTAAAAATTAATAAGAAAATTTTTTTATAAATAAAAATATTTATTTATTCGCTATACATTGTATTTATAATTATATTATCAAAGTAAAACTATATAATTTCTTAACATGCCTAATATACTGTGTTAAAAATATAAGGTATTTATTTATTTAAAAAAAAATTTATCATAAAATTCTGAATGAATGTGAACGCGCCTTTTTTAAAAGTGAACGTGTTTGATTTTTGTCAATGAACGTTGAACACGTTCAATTTTTTTAGAAATGTTTACAACACTAGTAAATAATTTTGAACCTTTAAAACAGGTTAAAACCGTCTTGTAAACAAACTTTTTAGAATTATGCAGCACATTTTTTAAATGTTATCACTACAATTAAAATTTTTTGATGATGCTCTTCTGTAAAATTATATTTATAAGGAGAAATATACATATAATTGATAGAAATGTAAAAAATATCTTTAAAAAGTTTACCGATCATTAATCATCTTTGCATGCTAATCTTTAACTTAAAAAAATATTGGCGGTCATTATAAAAAATATTCCTTACAAAATATCTTTTACAGAGCACCCTAAAATGAATGGTGTGATATTTTAAATTAATATTAAAGGCAAATAATTTTGATAATTTAGATGAAAATTAATAGGAAATTGTTAAATTGTCATTTCAAATATAATTTTACCACGATTAATATTATCTTTAAAAAACCAAAAATAGCGATTATAATGAGTACCATATAATGAATACTGTGCTATTTATTAATACCATAGGCAGATAATTTTGATTAATTAAATGAAGATCAAAATAAAAAATTATATGAATCCCATATAAAGAAACATTAAAAGAATTTAATATCGCTCATAAAAAGGAGGGATCAATAATTGGAAATGCATTTTTAAATTACCAATGGTATCGGGTTACGTGTAAGTATAGCCAGTGTTTTTGGATAATTTTCTGGATGATAGAGCCTTCTTTTGTGTGTATTGAGAATTTTGGGTGTGGGAACATTCAAATGCATGTCCATGGCGTAGAGATAACATTTTTGTTGAGCAACAGGGATAGCCGATTTTAAGCTTTGAGCAATCTTAATGAATCAATCAATACAAGATGCAAATTTTTCTGTATGATTACACCGATTTTTAAATATCGGTATTATGCGGGGAAAAAAATCTAAAATTAAAATAACTCCGTCTTAACATTAATTAATTCTAAATCTTAAAGTATAAATAAATCAAAGATTACTATTTAACATTGGTGTTAAAATTTAAGAAATAGTTTATATGATTTGGGGGTTTATGGCAAGTACATAATTTCGAAGTGTTAGATTTCCATTTATGAAAAATCGATATATAAATATTAAAATATATATCTATAAATATTTCAAAATAATGGGTATTTCAGATATGTTAATTAAAAAGCTACCTTTTTAAAGTATAGTTGCTTTCGTTTTGTGGATCCAGGTAATGGTGTCCCGTCAGGGACAGTTTCCGCCAACTCTTCCCTTTCGATTACGTAACTTTCTTTGGTAAGAGGCAAAAGGTGGTCGTCTAATTCGCCTGTAATCATAATCAAATAAAATTAAGGAAAAACTAATTTAATAATGAAAACATAAGTGAGATTCAGGAAGTGTTATAAAAGACCAAAAAATTTGTACAACTTTAACATCATGAATATCTATATAAATAAAAACTTTTTATAAAGAACTGAAGGATGAAGAATCAACTCTTTTTAAGTCAAATAATACATTACATTCTTTGTTAATATAGGGTTTTGTCACGATAGCAACTATTCAAATATTGAGCCACAGATAATATTTTTAAAATTCTCTTAATTATATATTATCTATATAAAAAATAATAAATTTAATGTTTGAGAACACTTCAATATGCCAACTTGGGTAGCTGGCACCGTCAAATAGCAAAATATAAATATCAGTCAAAACTAATGCTGTAATGTAACGTCAAAAATAAACGTTACCTCTTTTAAAGAAAGGAAACGCTATTCTTCACCTTCTTCCAGAGATGAGGATTAACGAGTTTCCTTTTTGAAGTATAGGTAATCAAAACGTTACTTTAAATTCTTTCTTAAAAAATATGGAAAAAAAAATATTTTATTTATTTTTTAAATTTTATAAATAATTTAGGCCGAGTTTTAATTCAGATTAACCACCAAATTCCTTTATTATAAATTTTAACGAGATTGTTAATCTAATTAATTTTCATCAATAAAGAAAAATAAAGGTACAAATTCTACACTTTGTAAGGGTGTCCCTATTTTAACCTCATTTGTGGAATAAACATGGGCAGACTTCAAACTGTGTGGCCATTTTTAAGGAAAGATTGAAAGATACCTGATTAAACCGATTATAACAAGATAGAACTCTTTTTATAACTCCGTGAAATTAATAGATTGTATTATTAAGGGGAATGGCCACAAATTTGACGAATATTATGATAAATCCGAATTACAGAGATTTTCAGAAAATGGCAAGGTTAGTGTTAATTAAAAATTATGATATGTATATATATGATTTTATAATTTATGGAACCTGTAACTATTCTTTCGATTTTAGAGCGAAGAATAAATGCATTTGGGATATTTCACTCCCACGATAATTATAATATTAAAACTTTAAAAAATGTCTTTAAATATTTAGTTTTGTAAGCCATTTATTAAGGCAATCCTGCAAGACATAGAAAGGTATACAGTTAAATATTGTTTATAATTTATATTTCGATTATATATTTTCAATAGATTCGAGCGCATCTATAAAGACGAATGTATACTATCAACAATAATTCATTCACTCTGGATAAAATAAGAGGTCAAGGAAGGAGGAAAGCTTAAATTACTTTAGGTTTGAGAAAGATCTTGACAAAAAAATCAGACTTGAAGACCACAATTTCATTAAAGATTATTCTTTAATTTTTAATATATTCCAACAATTAAGTTTTTTTTATTAAATATAATACATACTCCCCCCTCCCACCCTATCCTCTGAGCCAGATGAACATTGTTTATAATAGCAAAATCCATGTAAAGCACTAAGCGTTCTTGTTTATCTGATCAAAATTTTGAAAATCAATTGTTAAAAATAAATAAAATTATTATAAAAATATCTTATAACTAGTACTAGTAACGGGCATTCATTTTTTCAAAGTAAAGAGTAATGCTGCTTTTTTGAAGTAACGTTTACAGCACTAGTCATAACTCATTATTAATAATATATATCAAAAGTAAAACCGTTTACCAGACCTTTCTAATGGTTCTGTTCAGGGAAAAAAGTTTAATACAAGTTTAGTTTGTATACCTAGTTATCACATGACAAAATCGCATACCATGACATCGCCTACATGTAGTGTTGTTAAATGGCTGGATTATTTTTAAAAATGGCCAACTCAATATTTTAGCCAAAAAGTATAGTGCAAGCTTCGAGCCAAACCTTTTTATCATCTATGAGCAATCTCCAGGCTTGATAATATTTTTTGGCTAAAATATTGGGTTAGCTATTTTAAAAAATCGAGCTGCTTAACAAGACTACCTACATGAATAGATTTATTTTTTAAATATAGTGCATTCTAATAGAGTTCCAATATAGAAAATATATTCATTAAATTAAAATAATAATATATAATTAAATTGTATTTTTTATTGGAAAATAACATAATAAAATAAACAATATAATATCCACAAACCAGCTTGGTGAAGCATTTCGCAGCATTTGAGAGCGGTTGCCATTTGGGCCGTTTTAACGCAGTCCATTGCTTGGCCCATGATAGGCATCTTAAGGACAGAATTTATGGGAAGCTTCAAGGTCGTTTGATATTTATAAATTGTAGGCATGGGTTTTTGTAGGATGCTTTCAGATTTTTCATCTTTGGGTTGAGAGGAAGTGCTAGGTTTCATTTGAATCTCGATCTTCCTGGTTTTGCAATGAGGGTGAAATTTGGTGAAAGCATCACTAGGAAGTCTGGAGCAATACCTATGTGTTTATAAGAATAAATGATAATAAATGTGTCTAATTTAAAAGGATGATAACCTGAGCGCTTTATAGATTAGTGCATAAGAGGAAAAATGTAATTTTGGACAATAAATGGATATGCAATTAGATGATAAATTTTAAATCTTTACCAGTTGACAAGGGCGATTGCTGAAGTCATGGTAACTCTTGGTTTTCCTTCCCCAAACTCTGGTTGATAAGGGGGGAGCAATTCGTCTAATTTATGAAATTTAATGCTTTCCTCCTCAGCTGGACCACTTCTGTTGTTGCAATTTTTCGAGAGAGACTATTAAATATTTTAAAACATTTTGATTTAAAGATTAGGGAGAAAAATTTTAATTTTTAAAAAAATATACAATTAAATGTATATTTATCAAAAAATTAATGTGTAACAAACAGGGACCTGAACCTTTATTTATAACGGTTCAAGTTTGATTTACGGTTCAGCATGCAAAAAATTATAATGGTTACAGTTCAATTATGGTTCAGAAAAAATTTATAAAGTTTCGGTTTGGTTCAGCTAATTGTAAAGGTTTATAAAGGTTCATTATGGTTAGAAATTTTTACTAAATTACTTTTATTGAAGCAACACCATCATATGATTCTAATTATAAATATTATTTATTAAAATTATTGCCATCACTTAAATGAAATTGTGTAAGGGGAAACGCAAGTACTATAAGAGCAAGTTTATAAAATTTTGGACATTCATATTTTTTTTGATTCACAATATATATATAAACTGATGACTTTTTAAATTAATTAAATGCAACTAAATCAAAAATTGGTTATTTAGATATTTTGTATAAGATAATAGGAATGCTCTAATACTATATGAAGCAGACAAAAAATTGTGGAAATTTAAGTCATAGTAAAAAATTAATACATACATCTTATGGATATTAAACAAACATTTTGACCATTTAATAATTATAAATAACGACGTAGATATGGTAATATGTAATATACCACAAGAAAAGGAATGCAATAAAAGGTAAAATTATTTATTTTATTTTGGCTGAAACTAGTTTAACTTTTTTATAAAGGTTACTCCTTCAAAAAATAATTGAATCGTTTTGGTTATGGTTCAGATATGGGTGTCAAATCGACCAAAAAACGAGATTTTCGGCCGACCATCTCAAAAATGAATGAAACTTGGGATGCTAGTTATTTACGTTGTAAATGTTAATAAAATCAAAATTTTAGAGTGCTAGCTCAACCAGATCCAAAGATATACGCCTTCAAAGTCGAAAATCGTGAATGCGTGATTTCATTAAATCTTGTTTTTTTTTAAAAAATACTTAAGTTAAAGTTACAAATTATATGTCATTTTATAGCCCTTAAAATTTTACGTTGGAAAATATTTTAAAAAAATCAACAAATTTTAACATTGTTAGGAAGATATTTTTTGGGTGTTAATATTCACTAAAAATGTTTATTACCTTTATATTAAACGATTTAATAAAAGATCTCAATAGCCATTTTTGTTTCTTTAATTTTATTTGAATTTTTATTATTTTTATAAATAAAAAAATTATAGATATATTAATTTTCTTTTATAATATATAATTTTTATTAAAAATATGAAAGTAGTGTGATTAAAATTAAAAAATCAATTGAGTATAACCAAGAATGATGTCCTGGTGCGATATGTAAGCAGGCAACCCATACAGATATTATTTTATTGACGCGATATTGTAAAATAAACATATTTTAAAATTTTATATTCAAAACCATTATAATTTTGCGCTTATTAATAGAAATTCCTAAGGCTTGTAGATTTATTTCATTGTTGTGGATCTACTATCGTTATTATTTGAAAATAACGATTTTATCAGCTTATTTTATTTTTTTATTCCAACATCGCTACCAATCAATCATCATATATTTCAAAACTTAACAATTTTTACAACCAAATGAATTTAAGATAATTTGTGATTTCTTTAAAAATTATGCATTTATAATCCAAGACACTGTTCAAGGATTCCACTGGAATAATAATCAAGCCACTTTCCATCCTATGATAGCATATTATAATAAGGGCAATATAGAAAACCTGAATTATATGGTAATATCAGAGTCACTTCAACATAATGTTATTGCAGTACATTTATACCAGACTAAAATGATAAAATTTTTGATCAATCAATTCAGCAAAAATCCAAACAAAATATATTAGTGCTCTGATGGATCAGCTGCGCAATATAAAAACAGAATATTTTTTATAAATCCGTGTTATCATGAATCAGATTTTGGTGTAGCAGCTGAATGGCATTTTTCAGCTACAGTCCATGGAAAAGGTCCATGTGACGGCCTTGACGGAACATTAAAAAGATTAGCAGCACGTTCAAGCCTTCAGCGCATCAGTTCTGGACACATTTTAACGCCAGTTGATTTATATCAATTTTCAAAACAAAACATGCCATCAGTAAATTTTACATATATAACCAACGAACAATAAATTTACAAGAGATTAAACTACAAGAAAGATTCAATTTAGCTCGTCCCATTCCAGAAACTCGGGAAATACATGCTGTATTTCCTTTGAGTTTAAGTAAACTTAAATAAAAAATATATTCATATGCAGAGGACTTTCAAATTAACAATATCTCAAATGCCGATAATTTGTCTTTTGCGTAACATGTGTTTATGACGATTTTTGGTTAAGTACTAAAATAGAATGAAATTACTGAGGAGATACATATTTCCTTTTTACATCCCCATGGACCATCACCATCCTTCTTTTACACATTTGCGGAAAAGATATGGTTACCCATTGATCAAATAATAACAATAGTAGATCCTATTACAGTGACAGGACATACCTACAAATTATCGTCTCAATAAATTCTATTAATGAGCACAAAATGGGATAAGATTAAAACAAGCGGTATTTATTTTTACATTGTTAGTGTATAAAATTTTAAAATATGTTTATTACAATATAGTTTCAATAAAATAATATCTGTATGGGCTGTGTGCTTACATATCGCCCCAGTACATCATTTTTGTTTTACTCAATTAATTTTTTAATTTTAATCATATTATTATTCATATTTTTATTAAAAATTATATTATAAAAGAAAATTAATATAACGCCATCTATATTGCATTTTTTATTTATAAAAATTCAAAAAAAATTGAAAAAACAAAAATGGCTATCGAGATTTTTTATTAAATCGTTTAATATAAAGGTAATAAACATTTTTAGTGAATATTAACACCCAAAAATACTCCCTTCCTAACAATGTTAATTTTTTAATTTTTTTTAATATTTTCCAACGTAAAATTTAAAGGGCTATAAAATGATATATAATTTATAACTCTATCTTAAATATTTTTTAAAATAATAAGATTTAATGAAATCACGCACTTCGCGATTTTGGACTTTGAAGGCGTATATCTTTGGATCTTGTTGAGCTAGCACTCTAAAATTTTGATTTTATTAACATTTAAAACATAAATAACTAACATGCCAAGTTTCATCCATTTTTGAGATGGTCGGCCGAATCGCTGGTCGATTTGTCATGGAATTACCCATATTTATAAAGCGGTTTAGCAGTTCATTCTAGTTCACTCTGGGTCCTTGGTAATAAATATAAAAAATAATTATTAGAGGAGTAAACAGCTATATACTAGATAATAAAAAATAAGGTAATATTGTATTAGACTTGTACAAAGCAATGAAGTAAAAATAAAGCTCATGAGGTAAATCCAGGGCTTCAAACCGTTAAATATAGCGGTTCAGCTTTCAGTTTAAAAATTTATAAAGGTTTTGTTCCATTTCGGTTTCTTTTTGAAGAAATTCATATCGATTTGGTTCGGTTTAGAATTAATAACGGTTCTTTTCGGTTTAAAATCTTTTTAATATATATTTTTTTTACTTAATTTACCGTGAGGATTATTTCATATCTAATTAACTTGTAATTTGCCTAATCTCTATTAAATTGAGTATATAAAGTAAAAACAATAAACTTGGCATATAGATTGATATGGAGATAATGGCGATTTAATTGTGAAAAAAATTCTAATTTGAAAACAAATCCCGAATTTAAATTGCCAACAATGAAAATTAAAATTTCAATTGGTTAATAATTTCAAATTATTTTCAAATGAACGGGTTTAAACCTATTCAAAAATATTTATAATGGTTGGGTTCGCTTTTTATAACGGTTCAGTTACGGTTCCGAAAATTATAACGGTTCGTTCCGGTTAGGTTCTAAGTCCTGGATAAATCTAATATGTTCTCTCAAATAGATTTAGATAGAAGTATTTAGGCAAAATTCAAGCATAAAAAATTAACATAAACAATTGCATATCATGGTAATTAGCTTGACCAAATAACAATATAATACAACTGTAGATAAATCTTTGTCACACACTTTAAAATTTTTTATAATAAATTTGGATTCACTAATTTAAGGAATAACTAATTTTTCTATATTTTTGCTAGGTTAAGTATTTTACCATTTATTACTCTAATAAGATTAACAATATAATATTTAACTAAATATGGTAGATAGTTTTGTCACACACTTTAAAAATTTTTTTAAAGGTTATATATAATAAATTTGGATTCGTTAAAATTAGTTTTATATTTAAGGGATAACTAATTTTTCTTATATGTTTTTGCCAGGTTAAGTGTTTTACCAATTATTTATTTTATTTTGCTTTAAAATAAAAAAATATTTACAGTTTCGATTTTAGAATAATCCCGCAAATCTGCAAAAAGAGTTTTTCTAAAAGCGTCAGCAACCATGAGCAAAAAATGGGAATTCTCAGCACGAGCTCTGCCCTTGGATTGAACGTAGGAACGAAAATTTTGGGGTAAATCGAAACGAATTACCAAGTTACACCTAATTCAAGGAAACATATTTTATAAGTTTTAGGTAAAGGTTTGATTGAGTCAAGTAATAATAATTAAAGGAGCAATAAGAAGTCCTATACATGAATGTGATATTAAGCAATAAATGAAAAGACTTTATATAAGGCTTCATTTATAGTTGACGCAATAAACCTATAGAGTTTATAAATCTTTTAATGATACTGACTAATACTTAATTCATAACTTCGTCAGCTGCTATAAAGTCTCATCATGTCCATTATAAATAAGGCCATAGGCATATTCCTGCAATACTTATTAAATGAAACAACGAATTAAACGTAGTGATAAAAAAATTAACAGTTTTATAAGACATATACCGTCACTTTATTAGGATAAATTTAACAAACTTGGGTATATCGATGCCTTCTTCGATGACTTTGGTTCCTATAAGTATATTTAATTCACCACGTCTAAACTTTGTGAGCACATCTTGTTGGGATTTGTGTAACATAAAAGCAGCCTCGCACATTTTCTTCTGGCTTTGCATTCCGTGACCTATTATGTAACCTGATCTAAAATTATTAATAGATTAATTTGAGAATTAATAGTTTGGAGATATATATTATACAAATAATAAGCATGTTTATTTAATAACCTTATACCTGAAATAAACGGTTAAATCGATTGTCTCAGGATATAATGAATAATGAGAATTTAATTTTAACTCATTATAAAGAATAAATGTAATGTTAAAACCATATAAAAAATATAATAATTTCAATCACTAAGTACTAGATGGGTAAATTTTATAGGAAATATTAATGTCTCACTATATTAATATAATGTTCTCTTAGAAATTAAGTTTATCATAGAGCGTAATTATAACTTGATAAAGGATAGTTTGTGACTAAGTTTAGCGACGGTGTTGAGAAACAAATTGAGTATTATAGCAGTGAACCGGGTTTCGACAAATATTATGGCCGTAAAGTTGTTTTTCTCTGTCAAAAGAAATATAACATATTGAGTAATAGTTATTATAATATAAAGATCGATGAAATAATTGAATTCTTTAAAAATACAATAAAACAATTTTCAGCACCTAATTAGCTAAGAAGAACCGCAAATTTAATTTAAAAATAGAGCATATAAATTAGCTAACTTTCTTTAGTTTTATTTTCTGTTTTATTATTTTTTTCGTCTGCATCGTCACAGGCATGAAGTTCAAGTATTTTAACCAAAGTTTGCAATTTAGAGGTGCTCAATAAAAGAAGTTCTTTCATAGATAGCGTATCATTAGTTATATGGTTTAGTTTTATAATTATATTGTTGACTATGGAGGCTATGTAAGAAAAAGCGTCCTTGATATCCAACTCTTCGCATCTAGCTTGCATTTTATGGAGATCCTTAGCTAGAATTTTGGAAGCCTAAATTTAATCATGTTGTAGATTATCAAGTGTAAATCAACTCGGTCCAAGAAAGAGTTAAATTATAAAATAAATCATTTTAAAATTATGTTGTCCAGACATACATATACATATTATCTTAGTTCGTTTTTATTTTTGGTGAGGGTATTTTGGTAAAACACTAGATATATAAATAAATGGCGAATTTTATTTTAATATTATATAAAAGAAAAAGTATATCTTAATTATTTGAAAAGGAACAAAGATAAAAATATATCAACTTCGTTTTTTTATAGCCAAAAACCATGATAATTTCACGATTAAAAGGTTATTTAAGATAATCTACTAATCAAAATAAATTTAGATAATATAATCAGAGTTGTTAGGAGAACGTTTAACTTCCAGCTGTAGAAGTAACTTTGCTACTTTTAAAATATGTGGCGGGAGCATATCACGCTACTTTTTTAGAATAGTTAAATCAAATCCAACTTCTAACTATACGCCAGATTTATTCATTTTAAAATATTTTGACCGCATTTTTACCCGCCGAGTCCCCACCCCCATTGTTTTAATTTGAATTGGTTCATAAATTAGTTACGAATTTTTTAATATGATTTTGTGAATTAATATATTCAATGCACTTGTCCACAGTGCAAGATATCTATATTTAAATTAATAACCAACTTAAGTTAATCAAGTTTCGGAATCATGTTTGTAATCCAAATTAAAATAGTTAATGGGGGGTGGGAGGGTAAAAATAAGGTCAAACATATTTTTTTTAAAACAAATCTGTCATGAAGTAATGAGTTTAAAAAATAAACCAATTCTTCGAACAATGGATAAAATAGCAAGTTAAAACGCTAGTCGTCATCACTACAAGACTTTGGAAGGTTATATGATGTTAATTGACATGCTAAAATCTTATTTAAAAGATAATAATTTTTCAAAATATTCAACAGATAATTAATATATCTGATAGAAGAGATGTATTAGTGGTTAAACAGAAGTTACATATATTTGTCATTCTATAACACAATTTCGTTTTTATCCGCAGATTGCAGCTCAACTCTTTACAAATCAATATTTACAGACTCTAAAATTGCTTCGATTGTAAACACTAAAAAAAGCACTGCAATTGCAAAAAAATAGTTTAAGACCATTTTAAAAGATTTATATGCCACATAATGCCGATAAAAAAGGGCATAATATTTTACCATTTGATATTGAATCAATAACAATGAAGTGATATAATGAGTTTAATAGATAAACAAATAAAGGTGAAGGAACTTTAAAAATTATGAATGGACATATTGTATGGGCAGATCTCATAAAAAATGTCCCTGCAGGATGACTTTCACTCGTTTTTTCTTTAAAACATCCTTCAATCATTTTTTGAAGACCAATTAGCAGAGGCCTATTTAGGTATGGTCCCACTGTATGTTATGACTTGATAAAATAAAAATACTTGAATCCAATGAAGTTGTAATAATCGGCTTATTATCAATTATGGAGGATATGATTGGCATAATAAAGCCTCAGAGCAAGGATTTTACGGGACGATTGTAAAATCTACGTTATTCAGACATTGACCAGATTGAAGCATACAAAGAGATAGCTCAAAAATAAAAACAATTATCCAATATATTGAGAAATTTCAATATTATATATAAATATCTAAAAGTCATTAAATGATATATTAAAGTTCGATAATTCTGGACGAATTGTAGATAACTATCAACTTGAATATAAAAATATCGTAATTTGTATTTTCAATTCCCTATTTAAATGCGTAGGAGAGAAAATTTAGTTTAATCAATAAATGTTGGCGATTAAATAGTTCTTCGCTAAATTTATTAGAAGCTGAATTAATGATAAGGCAAAATTTTCATAAGAATTGTGATTCGCAAAATTTATTTCTAAAGATAAGAATATTTAACTTTTTGATTTTATAAATATAAAAATGTTTAAATAAAGATGTTAAATTTGTAATTTGATTGAATAAATTCACGCGTTTGTCCCGCTATTTTAAATTTTTTATTATTTTAACTATTGAAAGTGCCACGAACTCAATTTTTAAAACTGGTCTCGGGTCTTGCAGATCTCTAATAGGTATCAAACATAATTGATTTATAAAACGGTTGTAGTAGAAAAGATTGCTATAAAGGAGATATAAAAGCCTTAAATTGACATTAGAAAAAAGATTAGATAGATAATAAAAATGAAATTTGCTAAAAATTATTATTAAAAAGTTTAACTATCGGGGTGGATTCAAGGGGCCAGACCTCACTTTTTATAAAAATTTCGGGCCGGAAAACATGTGCAAAAATTCATAACGAGCCAGGCTTTGCAGATCTCTATAATGGATGGATCATTTATATGTATTTTATTTCAATAAAAAAACGTTATCCTATTTAGAATGAGTTCTGGGACCGGAACTTCAAATAGAAGCAGAACAAACTGTTGTAAATCTGTTAAATACATTTTATAAAATTATAAGGGGTGCTTTTATGGAGAATTATTTATTTAAATTTTATTATCAAAGGAGAAAGTTGCATTAGAAGTCGGCATAAAAATCGAGTATAAAAAGAATTAAAAAATGTATAATTTAAAATGTAATTTATGATACTAAGAGCATTTGTTACTTTATAAATAAAAAAAAACTTTTTATAAAAATGCTTAGTTGGAATCACAAAATTATAAATTTAAAAAAAACAAGTAAAATGTTTGATTAGTTTTAAATCTATAAAGATTGATTGATACATGGATGGATTTCGAATTTTAAAATTATTAAATTAATTAGTTACGCGTGTTATAAATATATAATTTCTCTCAAATTTTATGAGAAAGGGGCAAATTTTTTATGAAACAGTAAACAATATAATGTTTTAACTTTTTAATATTCATTGTTTTATTGAATTAATTGTGTTTATTTAATTTTTCTGTTTATGAAAATCACAACCTTTATAAAAATTTTAATTTCATAATAGGCTCGACGCTGTAAGATTATCTGCGGATTAACTTTATGTTTGCAAAACTTTTATAGGCATTAAAAGTTTGGGGTGTTAAAGTTATAATTACGATACGAGTTGTATCATTAAGCGTGGGTTATTTTTCAAAAATTTTAATTTTAGCTATTTACCGCACCCACGAACAATTTTTTTTTAAATTTCAGTTATAAAAATATATATAGTTTATATAGCAAGATTATTTGTATCTTTTAATATATTTTTAACAAAATTCTATTGACGACGATTCTAATTAATTTTCTATTAGTTAAACCGAATTTTTTTAAATTTTGATATAAAAGAGGATTGTTTTAGTTGGAAATTAGAATTTTCGCTTTTGATTTTACCTTTCTAACTGAAATAGGCGAAGCATTTTTCTTTTCAGAGAAGATTTAGTCAATATAATTTGAATCCATCTTGTAAAAGACCTAAAGGGAGAACGAAAAGGTAAAATTAAACTAGTTTGCCAAAATCACCAAAAAGGTCGTCCTAGTATTAACAACCCATGATAAAAATCCACCTCAAATATCTTATAATAATTCATCCATAGCTAGCCCATCTTTGTTCCCTAATAAGGTGGAACATAGATGGCTGCCGGTGGAACATAGATGGCTGCCATGAGTCTTTTCCTAATATATAAATCTAAAATTAATGTAATATGTGACAACGATCAAATTTCATAATTTTGACTTCGATCTGAAAAATTGACTAAACATTGGATTAGCAAAAATCGCATTCCTTGGAAACGACACCGAACCAGCCACCGATTGAGATCAGGCGGCGGTGGGGCCTATATAATTTTTAGAATGCTGTTTAATTATATTTATATGATAAATTATTATTTAAATATTAACATTAATAAAATTAAAATATGAATTGTATTCTATTGCTATATATAATAGAATAGTGTATATCTTCATTTCTACATAATATTACATTTCCACAAACTATACATATTTATTATTTTTATGGATTTGCACCTTTTAAACCACCTACAATTATGAAATAACAACTCTCTCTACTAATCATAAATCAAGTTTGTCTGGAGGTACTTTGGAAATCTTATTTTGAAGAATGAAAATAAGAAAAGCACAATAATGCTTAAAATTGGGAAACAAAGATGAAGAAGAATCGGATAAACATAATCCATTTTCACAATAATTTATTTTAATTTTAGACTTATCTTTACTTATATATAATTTATATTTTAGTTATGAAATAAAATGTAAAAATATAAGTACAAGTAAACTTTTTAGGCACTTAGTTAATGTTCATAAAATATCAAAAAAAATTAATAATAATAAATCCATTCAAAATTTAAAAATGTTTTTAAAGCCACCACCAAGATGTAGCAACAATATATAAGATAAAAAATGACTCTTAGATTAGTATTATTGTTTATTATTTAAATTTTTAACTGGTTAAATTAATTTGATTAAGTTTCATTTTGAAAGTTCAAAACAACTAAATTTTTAGTTTGATTATCAGTTCTATTTTGAGATCTTTATAATTTATTAAATTAATTATGTAAAACTTTATTTTGAAAGTTAAAAAATAAATGAAATTTTTTAATTTGTTTCTTTCCAGCTCTAATTTATTTTTATTTTTTTTAAATATATTAAAATAAATATGAAACCCAATAGGGCGAAATTAGGGGAAAATAATTGTTTCTTACTAAATCTTTTTTTAAAAAGGGTCCAAAAATATATTTTGCAATAGCTGTGCTTTTTTAGTGTGTTTACAATGAAAATGTGAAGCAATTTTTTAGTTTGATTTGTAAAAGGCTGAGCTGCAATATGCTGATAAATAGCGAAAATTGTGTTATATAATGATAAACATATGTAACTTCTGCTTTGACAACTCTTTTATCTATATCTTTTAAATAAGATAAATGTAATTTTGTCTTAACATCTCGATTTCGCCCTCTTTAAAATCGGCTAAATAGAGCTGTTTAACAACATTACATTCACACATAAACATTGAAAATATTTTAAATGAGATTATTAGCTTTTGGAG